AAGTTTTTGCACCCCTGTTTTCAACAAAAGGTTGTGTTCATGTGACGTCAGTAAAATAAACTCCATGCATTGAGGAGGGTTTGCTCAGTGTCAGGGACCATGTGGGCTTTTTGAATTAACTTCTTCTGGTGCCTTTTTCGACGAACTGTGTTTTCTCCGGAGAAATATCCACAGTCTCTTCAGCGGAGGCCTGCTTCGTTACGGCTGCCTCTTGGATCTCTGACGGTAAGACTTCCAGTTGGCTGTCTTCTGGTATGAGTAGTTCCTCTACCATCTATTCTGGTTTGAGTTCCCTTTTTGAGTTTTTCGTCACATCAAAAAATCTGTTTTATTCTTTGCGGTGAAGGAAAATAAGCGGAATTCAAACATTGTGGATGGACAGATATTCAGTTCAGTGTAAGACCACTGCACCACATATCTCGTCCCATAGAAGACCTGTTTAAATCCTTTTTGAATGCAGTTTAGAGACTGAGATCAGGCAGGTCAAACCCAGGCTCAGTAACTTGCTGCACTGATGGTAAGGGGCTACTATGGCATTGGTTCTGTCATGTTAACTAAAAAGGTAAATAGAAGTTATAGTTACTTAAATATGTAACTTCAAATTAATCTCTTATGGATATTTTCCCCAGTTGCGGTCCAAACTCATGTCAAATACAGTTGACAAAAGACAAAATAATATTAAATAAATAAATAAATAAAAGCAAATAAAAAAACCACACCTACCAACCAGTCTTAGATAATGTCATATCTAAGTTCTACTGGTTTTGATTAGTAGATGGGAGATGACAAATAGGTGCTCAGAGGTCCTGAGCTGATCCGGTTTCTTCTGAAGACCTTCCAAACCCTTGCAAAGAAGCACCTTGGCCTAGTCTGAGGACCATGGGCCAAATAATACCTGAGTTGGAGGTTCAGGTTCAGCTTCATTGTTTCCTCAGTGAAACTATTGTCGCTTAGAGCAGACACCGAGCCACACTCCTGCAGTAAGCTTTTGGCGGCCGCTTTCCCGATGGCTTTGAGGTCTTTGTCTGTGAGCTGACTGTCCTCTGGGATCCGAACCCCAGTCTCCACTTTTCTAAGCATTTGGACAAGATGGATCTGCTGCTCAGTGTCAGGAACCATGTGGGCTTTTTGAACTAACTTCTTTATCATCGCAGCAGCCATGAGATGGGCAGATCTGGTGCCTTTTGCGATGGACTGTGTTTCTTCCTCCAGAGAAATATCCACAGTCTCTTCAGCTGAGGCCTGCTTCGTTACGGCGGCCTCTTGGATCTCCGACGGTAAGACTTCCAGTTGGCTGTCTTCTGGTATGAGTAGTTCCTCTACCGTCTCTTCTGGTATGAGTTCCTCTTCCGTCTCTTCTGGTATGGGTCCCTCTACCGTCTCTTCTGGTATAAGTTCCTCTACTGTCTCTTCTGGTCTGAGTTGCTCTACCACCTCTTCTGGTTTGAGTTCCTCTACCGACTCTTCTGGTACGAATGCCTCTGACGTCTCTTCTGGTATGAGTGCCTCTACCGTCTCTTTTGGTATGAGTTTCTCTACCGTCTCTTCTGGTCTGTGTGACTCTACCGTCTCTTCTGGTCTGAGGTCCTCTACCGTCTCTTCTGGTATGAGTGCCTCTACCGTCTCTTCTGGTATTAGTGCCTCTACCGTCTCTTCTGGTATGAGTGGCTCTACCGTCTCTTCTGGTATTAGTTCCTCTACCGTCTCTTCTGGTCTGAGGTCCTTTGACTTCTCTTCTGGTCTGAGTTCCTCTACCGTCTCTTCTGGTTTGAGTTCCGCTACCGTCTCTTCTGGTACGAGTGGCTCTGACTTCTCTTCTGGTATGAGTTCTTCTACCGTCTCTTCTGGTCTGAGTTCCTCTACCGTATCTTCTGTAGCTTTGAGACGTTGCAGAGCCTTTACAGCCTTTTGGTGCTGTCGCAGCTGTTTTGCTTGCTCTTCATACACTTTCTGTTGGAAAATCTGGCTCTCATACGGCTGCATCGGTGGATTCTGCATCTGGAGCTGCTCTTTGAATCCCATCATCTCCAACATTCTCTCTGCCGCCATGACCTTGGCCTCTTTCTTGTTGGGGGCGAAAGCTTGACAAGACAAGTTCCCAGCTGTCACCTCCATACAATACACAACCGTATAATCCGCGTCATGGGTATGTTCAAGGTTGACAACCTTAAAACTCGCCGCGGGTTGTTTCCTGATCATGAGAACTTCTGTGAGCGCGGTGATCGGGTTTTTATTGTGGAAGAAGTACTTGCGCTCTTCAGGGTCCATAAGGTCCGCGTGGGGTTTGCACCAATATGGAGTTTTTCCCTGAGGCGGTGGGAGCTTGGACAACACCTTCACAACGTCTTTAGCTGCGTGTAACCGCGCCTTTTTCTTGGTGGGGCCGGAACCGAAGCCGACCAAGTCTCCCACTCGCACTTCTATCTGGAAAGTGGGCTTATGTGCTGGACCCTCCTCTCCCATTTCATTAAAAAGTACAAGTTTCCCATGGAGTTCTGCCAGTTCATGCAGAATCTCCAGGTCAGTCTTGTGGACTTCAATGGGCTTTTCCATGTTACTTGGATTCGTAAGTCGCTGAGTTGATCTCTGCAATAATACGTTTGCAAAAATGACTCCGTTTTCTGTTATTGGACTTGAGACAAACCCTAGCACATGTAAAATGGACGAATTCTAAGATGATGTAATAGAATTCTATTTCCATAACAACCATGGTAACCTAGTAACACTTTGTAGAATTGTAGAATTTGTTTTAGATCTAGAATGTGGTAACTATAGAGACAGAAATGCATTCGTAAAAAATATAAACATAAATGTATTTGTAAATACATAAATAAATTCTAATTGTACAACACTTGGTGAAACTATGGGAATCATTGTATGTTATGAATTTGCACAACATTTGCACACATTTTGACCCCAATTTGCATTTTAAGTCAAAATGTGCATACGTGAATTAAGGAATGTAAATAAGTAAGTATTTATGAATGTATGAGGGTAGGATTAGTTCATACTCTGTATTTTCTTAAATTTAATAAAAAATAATAAAGGATACTCTGAATTCTATTGCACCGAGGAGACTGACATCTAAGCTAGGCTAAGCTAGGCTAGTCCGGACTCGGGTCCGGACTACAGCAGACTCCGAGACCAGACAAAATATCGATACCCAAACCCCAGCTACAATAATAATAAATGAATGAAACACAGTCTTGGGATACAATCACAGATTTATTGAAAACAAAAGTAAAGTGCAAAACCAACAGTTTACAAAGTCAAAAGTACGTATGTCAGAGACCAGGTCCAGACCAGGTCCAGATGAGAATACTCCGGTCACTCATTACTCGTTGGTAATCTCCACACTTATGGGAAGGGATTCTCATACAAATATACACACAACAACTTAAATACAAGCACAAAACAGAATGACAACACATGAATACTGCAGATAATACGAGATAAAGCACAGTAGCACAGGGAGGACGTTAGCTTAGCTGCCATCAATAGCTAAATGAAGCTAAATGTAGCTAGCTCACTGTGTACAACAGACAATCGAGCATTTACACAGTAAATACATTTCAGTGAAAACTATGTTGAGCCTCGAGCTGCCTTTGAATTCTTTCTTTGGCCTGAAGAGAGGAACGTGTGGACCTCTTCCACCGACCAGGACCAGGACTTTTGGGGCGTTCTGTGCAATTCCATTTCTCTGGAGTGAGGAGGACGTAATGTAGCCGAAGCAGAGCCGAGCAGAGCAGCCGGTTTTAAAGATGGCGGTTGAGTAGTTTTTCCCAAAGGGTCAGATGTCGCTTCCAGTGACGACACTCGTTGACCAATCAGTGTAAGGCAGTGGGCCGACGTGACGTCATGGCACGGGTACTATGGGGATGGAACCACGGCTGAGGCAGTACGGAAAAGTACTCAAATCTCCCATTCCATCCACTAGTGGAAAAGCAAAATAGGTGCGCCGTACCGTACCGAAATGAACTGAACCGACACTGTGTAAAAACGGCAAAAGTGATCCACCAAATGTCAGAAGAAACCATTGAAGGGTTAAGATGAAGTGATCCTTTATTCGTCCCACAGTGGAGAAAAGTCAGTGTTGCATCGTCGGTTACAGAACAGTAGGAATGAGAGGCACACAGCACAGTTGTAGTAGTTTTAAGTTTATTTCTTCTGTCATTATTAACATTGGTCGCATGTTTTCAAAGATGGTTGTTGTAGATCTTGGTTTGAACAAGTTTTTGCACCCCTGTTTTCAACAAAAGGTTGTGTTCATGTGACGTCAGTAAAATAAACTCCATGCATTGAGGAGGGTTTGCTCAGTGTCAGGGACCATGTGGGCTTTTTGAATTAACTTCTTCTGGTGCCTTTTTTGACGAACTGTGTTTTCTCCAGAGAAAGATCCACAGTCTGTTCAGCGGAGGCCTGCTTCGTTACGGCTGCCTCTTGGATCTCTGACGGTAAGACTTCCAGTTGGCTGTCTTCTGGTATGAGTAGTTCCTCAACCGTCTCTTCTGGTTTGATTTCCCCTTTTGATTTTTTTCTTCACATCAAAAAATCAGTTTTATTTTTCGCGGCGAAGGAAAATAAGCGGAATTCAAACATTGTGCATGGACAGATATTCAGTTCAGTGTAAGACCACTGCACCACATATCTCGTCCCATAGAAGACCTGTTTAAATCCTTTTTGAATGCAGTTTAGAGACTGAGATCAGGCATGTCAAACCCAGGCTCAGTAACTTGCTGCACTGATGGTAAGGGGCTACTATGGCATTGGTTCTGTCATGTTAACTAAAAATGTATATAGAAGTTATAGTTACTTAAATATGGCTTAACTAACAGCCTTCAAATTAATCTCATGGATATTTTCCCCAGTTGCGGTCCAAACTCATGTCAAATACAGTTGACAAAAGAATATTAAATAAATAAATAAATAAAAGCAAATAAAAAAACCACACCTACCAACCAGTCTTAGATAATGTCATATCTAAGTTCTACTGGTTTTGATTAGTAGATGGGAGATGACAAATAGGTGCTCAGAGGTCCTGAGCTGATCCGGTTTCTTCTGAAGACCTTCCAAACCCTTGCAAAGAAGCACGTTGGCCTAGTCTGAGGACCATGGGCCAAATAATACCTGAGTTGGAGGTTCAGTTTCATAGTTTCCTCAGTGAAACTATTGTCTCTTAGAGCAGACACCGAGCCACACTCCTGCAGTAAGCTTTTGGCGGCCGCTTTCCCGATGGCTTTGAGGTCTTTGTCTGTGAGCTGACTGTCCTCTGGGATCCGAACCCCAGTCTCCACTTTTCTAAGCATTTGGACAAGATGGATCTGCTGCTCAGTGTCAGGAACCATGTGGGCTTTTTGAACTAACTTCTTTACCATCGCAGCAGCCATGAGATGGGCAGATCTGGTGCCTTTTGCGATGGACTGTGTTTCTTCCTCCAGAGAAATATCCACAGTCTCTTCAGCTGAGGCCTGCTTCGTTACGGCTGCCTCTTGGATCTCCGACGGTAAGACTTCCAGTTGGCTGTCTTCTGGTATGAGTAGTTCCTCTACCGTCTCTTCTGGTATGAGTTCCTCTTCCGTCTCTTCTGGTATGGGTCCCTCTACCGTCTCTTCTGGTATAAGTTCCTCTACTGTCTCTTCTGGTCTGAGTTGCTCTACCGTCTCTTCTTGTTTGAGTTCCGCTACCGTCTCTTCTGGTACGAGTGGCTCTGACTTCTCTTCTGGTATGAGTTCTTCTACCGTCTCTTCTGTAGCTTTGAGACGTTGCAGAGCCTTTACAGCCTTTTGGTGCTGTCGCAGCTGTTTTGCTTGCTCTTCATACACTTTCTGTTGGAAAATCTGGCTCTCATACGGCTGCATCGGTGGATTCTGCATCTGGAGCTGATCTTTGAATCCCATCATCTCCAACATTCTCTCTGCCGCCATGACCTTGGCCTCTTTCTTGTTGGGGGCGAAAGCTTGACAAGACAAGTTCCCAGCTGTCACCTCCATACAATACACAACCGTATAATCCGCGTCATGGGTATGTTCAAGGTTGACAACCTTAAAACTCGCCGCGGGTCGTTTCCTGATCATGAGAACTTCTGTGAGCGCGGTGATCGGGTTTTTATTGTGGAAGAAGTACTTGCGCTCTTCAGGGTCCATAAGGTCCGCGTGGGGTTTGCACCAATATGGAGTTTTTCCCTGAGGCGGTGGGAGCTTGGACAACACCTTCACAACGTCTTTAGCTGCGTGTAACCCCGCCTTTTTCTTGGTGGGGCCGGAACCGAAGCCGACCAAGTCTCCCACTCGCACTTCTATCTGGAAAGTGGGCTTATGTGCTGGACCCTCCTCTCCCATTTCATTAAAAAGTACAAGTTTCCCATGGAGTTCTGCCAGTTCATGCAGAATCTCCAGGTCAGTCTTGTGGACTTCAATGGGCTTTTCCATGTTACTTGGATTCGTAAGTCGCTGAGTTGATCTCTGCAATAATACCTTTGCAAAAATGACTCCGTTTTCTGTTATTGGACTTGAGACAAACCCTAGCACATGTAAAATGGACGAATTCTAAGATGATGTAATAGAATTCTATTTCCATAACAACCATGGTAACCTAGTAACACTTTGTAGAATTGTAGAATTTGTTTTAGATCTAGAACGTGGTAACTATAGAGACAGAAATGCATTCGTAAAAAATATAAACATAAATGTATTTGTAAATACATAAATAAATTCTAATTGTACAACACTTGGTGAAACTATGGGAATCATTGTATGTTATGAATTTGCACAAAATTTGCACACATTTTGACCCCAATTTGCATTTTAAGTCAAAATGTGCATACGTGAATTAAGGAATGTAAATAAGTAAGTATTTATGAATGTATGAGGGTAGGATTAGTTCATACTCTGTACTTATTTAAATTTAATAAAAAATAATAAAGGATACTCTGAATTCTATTGCACCGAGGAGACTGACATCTAAGCTAGGCTAAGCTAGGCTAGTCCGGACTCGGGTCCGGACTACAGCAGACTCCGAGACCAGACAAACAATCGATACCCAAACCCCAGCTACAATAATAATAAATGAATGAAACACAGTCTTGGGATACAATCATAGATTTATTGAAAACAAAAGTAAAGTGCAAAACCAACAGTTTACAAAGTCAAAAGTACGTATGTCAGAGACCAGGTCCAGACCAGGTCCAGATGAGAATACTCCGGTCACTCATTACTCGTTGGTAATCTCCACACTTATGGGAAGGGATTCTCATACAAATATACACACAACAACTTAAATACAAGCACAAAACAGAATGACAACACATGAATACTGCAGATAATACGAGATAAAGCACAGTAGCACAGGGAGGACGTTAGCTTAGCTGCTATCAATAGCTAAATGAAGCTAAATGTAGCTAGCTCACTGTGTACAACAGACAATCGAGCATTTACACAGTAAATACATTTCAGTGAAAACTGTGTTGAGCCTCGAGCTGCCTTTGAATTCTTTCTTTGGCCTGAAGAGAGGAACGTGTGGACCTCTTCCACCGACCAGGACCAGGACTTTTGGGGCGTTCTGTGCAATTCCATTTCTCTGGAGTGAGGAGGACGTAATGTAGCCGAAGCAGAGCCGAGCAGAGCAGCCGGTTTTAAAGATGGCGGTTGAGTAGTTTTTCCCAAAGGGTCAGATGTCGCTTCCAGTGACGACACTCGTTGACCAATCAGTGTAAGGCAGTGGGCCGACGTGACGTCATGGCACGGGTACTATGGGGATGGAACCACGGCTGAGGCAGTACGGAAAAGTACTCAAATCTCCCATTCCATCCACTAGTGGAAAAGCAAAATAGGTGCGCCGTACCGTACCGAAATGAACTGAACCGACACTGTGGAAAAACGGCAAAAGTGATCCACCAAATGTCAGAAGAAACCATTGAAAGGTTAAGATGAAGTGATCCTTTATTCGTCCCACAGTGGAGAAAAGTCAGTGTTGCATCGTCGGTTACAGAACAGTAGGAATGAGAGGCACACAGCACAGTTGTAGTAGTTTTAAGTTTATTTCTTCTGTCATTATTAACATTGGTCGCATGTTTTCAAAGATGGTTGTTGTAGATTTTGGTTTGAACAAGTTTTTGCACCCCTGTTTTCAACAAAAGGTTGTGTTCATGTGACGTCAGTAAAATAAACTCCATGCATTGAGGAGGGTTTGCTCAGTGTCAGGAACCATGTGGGCTTTTTGAATTAACTTCTTCTGGTGCCTTTTTCGACGAACTGTGTTTTCTCCAGAGAAAGATCCACAGTCTCTTCAGCGGAGGCCTGCTTCGTTACGGCTGCCTCTTGGATCTCCGACGGTAAGACTTCCAGTTGGCTGTCTTCTGGTATGAGTAGTTCCTCTACCGTCTCTTCTGGTATGAGTTCCTCTACCGTCTCTTCTGGTATAAGTTCCTCTACTGTCTCTTCTGGTCTGAGTTGCTCTACCACCTCTTCTGGTTTGAGTTCCTCTACCGACTCTTCTGGTACGAATGCCTCTGACGTCTCTTCTGGTATGAGTGCCTCTACCGTCTCTTTTGGTATGAGTTTCTCTACCGTCTCTTCTGGTCTGTGTGACTCTACCGTCTCTTCTAGTATGAGTGCCTCTACCGTCTCTTCTGGTATTAGTGCCTCTACCGTCTCTTTTGGTATGAGTTTCTCTACCGTCTCTTCTGGTCTGTGTGACTCTACCGTCTCTTCTGGTCTGAGGTCCTTTGACTTCTCTTCTGGTCTGAGTTCCTCTACCGTCTCTTCTGGTTTGAGTTCCGCTACCGTCTCTTCTGGTACGAGTGGCTCTGACTTCTCTTCTGGTATGAGTTCTTCTACCGTCTCTTCTGGTCTGAGTTCCTCTACCGTGTCTTCTGTAGCTGTGAGACGTTGCAGAGCCTTTACAGCCTTTTGGTGCTGTCGCAGCTGTTTTGCTTGCTCTTCATACACTTTCTGTTGGAAAATCTGGCTCTCATACGGCTGCATCGGTGGATTCTGCATCTGGAGCTGCTCTTTGAATCCCATCATCTCCAACATTCTCTCTGCCGCCATGACCTTGGCCTCTTTCTTGTTGGGGGCGAAAGCTTGACAAGACAAGTTCCCAGCTGTCACCTCCATACAATACACAACCGTATAATCCGCGTCATGGGTATGTTCAAGGTTGACAACCTTAAAACTCGCCGCGGGTTGTTTCCTGATCATGAGAACTTCTGTGAAACCCGGTGATCGGGTTTTTATTGTGGAAGAAGTACTTGCGCTCTTCAGGGTCCATAAGGTCCGCGTGGGGTTTGCACCAATATGGAGTTTTTCCCTGAGGCGGTGGGAGCTTGGACAACGCCTTCACAACGTCTTTAGCTGCGTGTAACCGCACCTTTTTCTTGGTGGGGCCGGAACCGAAGCCGACCAAGTCTCCCACTCGCACTTCTATCTGGAAAGTGGGCTTATGTGCTGGACCCTCCTCTCCCATTTCATTAAAAAGTACAAGTTTCCCATGGAGTTCTGCCAGTTCATGCAGAATCTCCAGGTCAGTCTTGTGGACTTCAATGGGCTTTTCCATGTTACTTGGATTCGTAAGTCGCTGAGTTGATCACTGCAATAATACCTTTGCAAAAATGACTCCGTTTTCTGTTATTGGACTTGAGACAAACCCTAGCACATGTAAAATGGACGAATTCTAAGATGATGTAATAGAATTCTATTTTCATAACAACCATGGTAACCTAGTAACACTTTGTAGAATTGTAGAATTTGTTTTAGATCTAGAATGTGGTAACTATAGAGACAGAAATGCATTCGTAAAAAATATAAATATAAATGTATTTGTAAATACATAAATAAATTCTAATTGTACAACACTTGGTGAAACTATGGGAATCATTGTATGTTATGAATTTGCACAACATTTGCACACATTTTGACCCCAATTTGCATTTTAAGTCAAAATGTGCATACGTGAATTAAGGAATGTAAATAAGTAAGTATTTATGAATGTACGAGGGTAGGATTAGTTCATACTTTGTACTTATTTAAATTTAATAACAAATAATAAAGGATACTCTGAATTCTATTGCACCGAGGAGACTGACATCTGGAGAGCGGCAATATCTCTTCTCTGAGCGAAAAAGGTTTATCCCTCTAATGTTTATACCGTAAAGAAAGTAATGTATTTTTTGTGATTTTCTAAGATGTAGGAGCACCAGTAATAACATTTTTTTCAACCCCTATAGGTTTAAAAAATATATATTATAGGCCTCTACCAAATGGTTGTGATGCAGCTTGATGGTGAAAGTGCATAAAACCAAGTGACAAAGATGCCCCAATGAGGTAGATTTCAGTTCCAAGACTCAAGGAGATAGTGACTTTAAAATGTGATTCACCAAATGTTTGAGGAAAACCATTAAAGGGTTATGGTGATTTCCCCTTTTTCTGGATGTGAAATGCATAGACACAGACCTAAACACTAGGTGGCTCCAAAATAAATACTATGAACTTGCATGTCGGAATCATGGATCTATTATAATAACTGGGTTGGGTATTACTCGCTTGGAGCTGAAGGAATCGGGAGTATAGTTTCGTGGGAAACTCAGGTTAATCCTTAATTTATGGAAATAATATCGACCACATGCAAAATATACGGTGGTTCAAGTCCATCATTGATGGTCAAGATGTCTTGGTACTCTGTTTAAAAGTTTGAAAACAAGATAAGATACAGTAAAACTATATTGATCTCACAATGGAGACATTTTCATGGTAAATTTGCCTTTTATGAGATCACTCAGGGTGTGCAAAAGGACAGAAAATGTGCTAAATATGTAAAAAATAAAAAAAATAAAAAATAAAATAAAATAGATGGTAAAAAGTGACTATGGCAGCGCAAAGTTTGATTGATAGATGGATAGATAGATACGTTATTGATTCCTGTATAGGAGAAATTAACGTGTCCAGCAGCAGAAACAGATTAATCCATGCAATCACATATTTATATAAATTATAAATACCATGTTTTTACTAACTAACTAACTAACTAACGGACATTAGAGATTACTTACATATACAAAATGCCCACGTACTTTGACTTGATTTAAATCTGGACCGGAACCTACTCAGATGTATCACAAAATAAAACACTTAGACGCTGCTTAACTTTATTTTGAAAGTCCTCCCGGATGCAGCAGTGATAACCCCCTCTGCCTTCACGCCCCCCTCACTCTGCCTCTACACCGGCTCCGTGCTGCTCTCACTCCAACACGGAGCAGCGTCTCTTCTCCGAGGACTACGCGCTTTTGCCCTGCGCTCCAAGGATATTTTTGCCCGTCTTTATCCAGGGTCAACAGGGGGGAATCCAACATGCCATCCAACGCTCAAGGTAAACCACAAATATATTAAAAACCTCTCAAAATCCTCTGGCATCTTTCATGCGTCGCTAGCTGCCCATGCGTAAGCCCAGGGCGCACAATAGAGCATCAGCAGCACTAAGCAGGCCTAGTGTCTGTCTTAAGCCAATAAAAAGTACAGCATTGCGTTAACCCCAGAATCTATTTCCAGGCGGGAAAGCGTTCGGTGTTCTCAAGGACCAGCAGCGGCAGAAATTGGAGGAGATCAACCAGGTGAGAGCGACCCTATACCTCGGCGTCTCTCTCTTTGGGAATGACGCTGTTGTGGATCATGGATGGATGGATGGATGGAACCAAAGGCGCGCACACTTGACTTGGCAATGGCCGTGTTTTTTAAGCCTTTTCAAGCCCGTGTAGCTGCATGTGATGTGTGTGGCTGGTGTTTGTGTTATTGATCCAACCTTATGACCTTATGTCCAGAGGCACTTGTTGCTTGTTGAGTTTTGGAGGCTGCTGGACCACACCTGTTCTTATCACTTATGGACTTCTGGCCCTCTATTGTATCCATGCACTTATCAGGCACGTTTCAGACTGGGTAAAGCCAGTTCAGGACAAAGGAATGCTAAATGCCAAATGACAGCCTTTGAGTCTGGTTGTGTTTATTGGCTCAATTTGAATAGGGCTGGTACAAGTTTGTGGGATATTGAAATGGTTGTCAACTAATTTAGCAATAGATTAATCGCTTTTTGAGCCCTACTCTTAGACTTCAGTTTGCCGAGAATAGGTTTTATGACTCTTAAGAATTCTGACTGCTGAACTGAATCAAAATGTGTTTACAAAATATTATTAATCAAACAATCATGTACTAGTAAGGTGTTCTCCAGAGGCATCGCTTGACCTTTGCTTTTAACATTTCATATTCACCACCCTTCAGGATCCAAATTATGAATCAATTTTGGAACTAATTGTGAATTACGTCCTATTGGGCCATGCAACATCCAACCCATAGAAGTCTCCCAAACTGAGTCTATAGTACTAATAATGTAAATGGCTTTATATGATTGTTTTAGATCGTTTTAGTAGCATTGAATAATACTACAAGGATAAAAGTATTAACACAAAAATCCCACAGATTCTAGACACAGGGAATTGTAATTTTGTCTTTTAAATTCAGTTGAATTTGAGCGATTTTACTTTGAAAAACTTGAAATGGGACAATTTCAGAATATTAAGTGCTTTTTTTCAAGGACATTTTACCTTTTACTGGAATGCTTTTTTTTTTTTCAATTTATGAGATGAATATTTAAAAAATGTTGACCTGGAAAGGCTCATGACCTGCTAAAACTGTTCCCACGACCCACTTTTGGGTCTCGACCGTCCAGTAGAGAATCACTGAATCCACTCAGCTGTATGTAAGCCCAGTATGTACATGGGTGTCACAATGGACTTGCATAAAAATCAAACGAATAAATCTAGAATGAATCTTGAGTTTTACATTAGATTACTCACTGCTGTGTTCTTTTTAATCGTCATCACCAATGGCCAATGAGAAATAATAATACACTTAATTAAGATAAATTACATGGATATCTATGAGGATTTTTGGTATTTACATTGACCCAATACACTATTATTCAAGCCAGATCCAAACTCAATGAAGTACTTCTTTAATATGTTTTGGTAATTGCTCCAAGTGAATATTTACGGTTAGTTATTTAGTGCTTGAAAAATTGTATTTTTTGCATCAAAATATAAGTTTGGTGAGCACGGTTAAGGCTAGATATTCATGATCGTTTAGAATGATTTTTGCAGAACCCGCTTTGTAATCGACAAATCATTCAGAAGGTTACATCTTTTTGTCTCTGGGAAGCCCTTCGGACACTTGTCTTCATAAAATGTCCCATATAAAGTGAAATATATGGGTTCTTGTGATGCACTACAGCCCTGCTACATGATCAGAAGTGTATTTATTGCTGAGAATGTTGCTGTGACACTGCAGTAGTCTCCCTTTCTTCAGATAATGGCTGAATGAGGACATGCCTGTGTGTGGAGGCCGCAGCAGAGTCTGAGTCAGGCTTCTGTACTCATCCACTGGAGGTGTTTACGTCTTCAGCCTTAATTATAAACTACACGGACACATCCAGGTCAACAACGAAAACGCTCGACACAAAACCTCCTCTTTTTCTGTTCTGTGCGGACGATGGAGGCGTCTCCCCGAGCAGATTGCTCCATTATAATTTCATTAGCACTGGTTCCTCTGGGTATTATGTTCTTTCCATTTAGCCTCTTGAGAAGCGTTCCACTTTATCAGCCAACAGGTTCACAAGAGAAGACATGGAAATGATGTTTAGTTCTATGAATGCACTTACAGTAGCAGTATACAGTATGTGTCCACTGTCACTTTACTTTACTCATCAGTGCAATAATAATTTGGAAAATGTCAGAATGTGCAATATAGAACCACATGTGTCCACTGTCCCTTTGTCTCATAGCCTCATGCTGCTAACATGTACAGATGTAAACATACAAGTATATATTTCTTGCACTAGAGTATACTATAGTTGCTTCTTTGCTATCCTAAACATGTATACTTTATTCTTGCTTCTAGGGCTGGGCGATATGGCAAAAAAAAAAAATCTCCGATTTTTTCACACCAAATCCGATTTTCGATTTTAATCGATTTATTTTTTTCTATTTAAAAACAAACTACAACTGACAAAGAAATAGATTTTCCTTTATGCAGTTTAATCTAAATCCCCATGGAGCATAAGTGTAACAGGAATTAAGCCTTAAAACATGCTTGTAAACGAGATGGCTCTGCCATTGTAAACAGTGAAAATGTAGCTTAACAGTTTTATAATAACTTCACTTACAATGACACTATGCACCTTCAAAATAACTTAAATCACACAAACAAGGCCCATCGCAAATATATCAATCCTATTAAACACATGCATTATTTACATGAAAAATCACATTTTTAAAACTGATTACTCAAAATAGAAATGTTGTAACAGACAGTCTTTTCCAAAAGCCTCCTCGGGTTTTCATGCTTGTTCTTTCAACTGTGCCTGAGTAACTGTGCTGTAGTACAACGCTCGGTCCAGCTGGTGGCGCTAATACTAACTTCAGTGACTCCCGCATTGTGCGAGCTTCCTGTTTACATTCTGATGCTGTAGCTAACAGCTACTGTAGCAGCTACTGTAGCTAACAGCTACTGTAGCAGCTACTGTAGCTAACAGCTACTGTAGCAGCTACTGTAGCTGCTACAGTAGCTGCTAGCTACAGTAGCTGCTACAGTAGCTGCTAGCTACAGTAGCTGCTACCTGATGCTGCGAGCATCAGGCCAGAGGGAGACTGTTAGCATTAGGTTAGCTTCAAAATGACTGCTCAACACCATAGACCCGCGGTTAGCGCGTTAGCGCTGTAGTTCTGCGCTGGAGAAAATAAAAATCGAATTTTTAAAAAAAGAAATCGCCCTAAATGTAAAACTCGAATTAATGATTAAAATCGATTAATCGCCCAGCCCTACTTGCTTCCGATTTTGCTAAAGTCATAGATTTTGTACTTAATTCTTGCTTCTTCGAAATGCTAAAGTTGGAGATTTTTTATCTTATAACAAATTTGCAGCTGTGACCTGAAGGGCTGTTGCTGATTATTACTATTGTTATCTTTTTAGAATTTATTTATTTTTTATTTTTGCTGATACTGGACACCTGAATTTCTCCTACAGGGATCAATAAACTATCTATCTAATGCCAACAATAGAGACTTAATATTTGCTTCTTAATAATGAGATTTTATTTTGTTTTAGTATAGAGTTATGCTGATAGAGGTATCTGCATAACTCTATAAGATAAAACTTAATCGATCTCTTAATGGAGAAATGTTCATGGTAAACTTGGCTTGAATAAGATGGATCGGGGATTGCAAAAAGACAGGAAATGTGCAACTGCAAACATGTTAAAAAATGAAAAGATAGATTCATATTCTGTGCAATTCTAAAGTGCCACTATGGCAGCGCAAAGTTTGTAGCCCTAGTGCAGGACATCATGAAGTCTCCTTTTGTACAGTCTGACATTGCAACTCTGAAACATCCTCACTATACTTGCACACGTTTTAATTTGTTATTATTATTGTCTAAAAAGTTTCCCCTCTTTCTTTCTGTCATCCCAGGAATACTTGGAAGACTCAAAATACAGCGATGAAGAAGACCTGGCTGTGAAATTGGAAGGTTTTAAAAGTAAGTCGTCTGCTGCTGTGTGAATTTTGTTGTTTTTGGGAGAGTAAAGGCTGAAGTATTTTGTTTTCTTCTGTGGTCCTGCTGCACGGTCTGGGAGGAATGTGCTGCTGGGCGTTCCACAGTCTGTTGTTACACCATTCCATTTTAGTGTAAACTTCTTTTGTCTCCGCACAGCTGTGTTAGCGTTACCCTGCGAGCATGACACTAGGCTGACAAAATTAGCACAAACTAGCATTTTTTTTAAGCAGTAACCCCCTATCCCCCCCCCCCCCCCCCCCCCCTCCCTCTAAACTGACCCAGGGGTGATGGGAAATATTTACAATCGCGTCTATTCTCTTGTTATGTCAAAAACAGGCCTGGATACTTTATTAAAAAGATGGGTCTCGCACAGTGGGGGCAGGTCAAAAAGGTCCATGAGCACGTGCGCTGACATGCTTTTACAATCTCATTCTGGGCTGGTGGGGGTGTACCTGGAAAGAGAATTACCCAATGCGTTTGAATGGCGTCGTCTTTCCTCTCAAAAACAGCTTTACAGTTAAAAAAAAAAAAAAGATAATAGCAACAGTGAGGCTCCTGTGTTTGTCTGAAAAAATTATTTAATAATAAATATGAATAGAATAAAAGATGGAACAATGACAATCTCAAAATGTCTCTAAAGTATTGACATATGCATTCAAACACACAAGGATTTTTTTTGTTGCCGCTCAACTGAATTTCAATGTTTTAACTTGCAGCATAAATGTTTGTGGCACGTTATACCTAATTTTAATGCTAATCAATCAACCATTTAGTTGTATAGCACAATTCATGTACAAGGCAATTCAAAGTGCTTCACAATAGCAATGTAAAAAGACAGATCAAGATGCATTAAAAAAAAGTTCTCAATAAAACGATCTCATTTAAGTTGTTCTAAAACGTTAACCCAACGCGTTATTAGATATTTTAAAGACAAAAGTCAAAGATTTGCTTTTCAGTTGACTATTTTTTTTTTACAAGTTTTGTTTCTGCACTGAAATAATTGTGTTCAAAATAATGGGCCAGAAAATATTATTGTAACTCAAAAGTTTTGTAGGTAACCTGTAATCTAATTCTGTGATGTAAAAATATCATACTAAATAGAAAAAATATCATAATATAGATAGTAAAAATATCATAATAGATAAAAAAAATATAGTAAATAGTGAAAAAATTCTAGCTTTCCATTAAGTAAACCACTTTTATCCGGGCCCTCATCTAGTGACGGCGATCATGGTGCTGAAAACCCATTCTTTTTCTGGCTGTGAGGCACAAGCGCTAACCACTGCACCACCGTTTTATATTTGTTACATAAACACATTTCAGTAAGCAACAAGGACAGATGAAATGTCCTTGGAATCCCTGCTGTTTCAACGACGTTAGCATTGACTGCGTTAGCGTCGACGCTGTTAGCTTCGATGCCGTTAGCTTCAATGGTGTTCGCCTCAGGGGCAGACTTGTTGTAATTGCTCTGCGTTTGCTGTAGCAGAACTAGAGTGAGGAGAAAAATGGTTTGAATATCTGAACACTATCTCACACACCAGACAGGAAACTGCTACTCAGTATCTTTGATCTCGCTGCCAACGGTTTCAGCCATTTCCGATAAAGCGTCCACGTTCTCTGATGTGTTAGAAATGCCATCACTTCAGCGGTAATCATTGGCATCCTCCATTTCAAAAGAGAAGGACATCTTTCTGGTCGTGTGGCAGACATTCAACAGGCAAAGGTCAAATATCGCTGGAAGTTTTATCGTTCAGACTTGTTGTTGTCAAAGCAAAAGATTTGTAGGGGCTTACTATTGATCCTCATATTTAACATGCAGACATTTTGATTTACATGTGCGGGGACTTACACTGCAAAAAGTGATGGAAAAATGAGCTCATTTTGATAAGATTTGCCAATAGGACAAAACAAAATTAACTTGTTTTTCAAAAGATACAAGAAATGTCTCCCTTGGAATGAGAAAATATAGCAACACTTCTTGATGTGAGAAATCGCTTTGTCCCATTGGCTAAGCTTGTTTTTAAGACAGTCAGAATGTACTCAAACTAAGATAAAAAAAAAAAAAACGCTGGATTCAAGCATTTATTACCTCATATTTTATCTTTTTTGTGCAGTGGTGATTATTAATGATTTTACTGCCTTGTATGATTTTTATTTTTTATTTTTCCTTATCTTGCTCTATCACTTTGAGTTGCCTTGTATTGCCTGTGTACAAAACTGTGCAATACAAATAAACTCTCCTTTCCTGAAAAATGGGAGCCAAACGCAGGCATTTACGGTTAGTGTGTAGTTCGTGGTAGTCGTGGTAATTATATATTTTATGTAGTCTATATGGGACAAATATCGTCTTAAAAGTATTGTTCTATAGACTACTCTCTGTGGCTGTAGAAGATGATAAACAGGCTGCCTCCAGACATCTCTCTCTAGAAAAAATGTTGTGGGGGTGTGCTCTGTGTGTGCGCGCTCTGTGTGTGTGTGTGTGTATGTATGTGTGTGTGTGTTAGTGAAGGGGGTTCCTCTCTAACTCGAACAGTTGTATCATTGTCCTGTCTCCCTCCCCAGGGCTTCAAAGAGTTAAGTTTCCTCCTCTTTCTGCCTCCCCAGACAGAGCGCTCATTGTGAGATTGAAATAGCAAGTGTAATCGGACCAAAGTGGCCCAGAGAAAACGGGTGACAACATTCGAGAAAGACGCGGGAAAAGGCACAATCTACTGCAGTCATTTTTTTGTTGACATACTCGAGAAAAAAAAAAAAACATGTGTAGAATACTCTGGATTGAAAATTGAAATCTCTCAATTCAATCGCCCTTTCAATTTTTATGATTTTTCTTGACAAATTATTGGTTGTTTGGATAAGTAATGTCAGTAAAAAAGGAGACTCAGTGATATTTGAGAAGTGAAATAAATTCTTAGAAAGTGCGCAAGAACTTTCTGGAACCCATCAAACTTAAATGATCTGCAAAGAAGAATGGTCCAAAATTCCCTCCACCATAATCCAGACTCCTTTGGATGCTTTTAATTTATGCAAAAGGACAATGTACAAAATATTGAGTTTTGTGGTGCCTACGTTTTGGCACATACTGGATTCGGTTTCAATAATAATAATAATAATCTAGATAATAATAATACTTCATCTGAAGAGCGGATGATGGGTGAGCTACCTTCCTTCGTTTTGAATAATCTCGCCAACTTGAAAGCTTACACAAACTTATAATAATACAAACTTTATTTCATTTCTCAAATATCACGGATTTTGTCTCCTATATGATGTATTTAACTGACATTTCTTTACCAAACCACCAGTAATTGACAGAGAAAAATTGCCCGGTTTTTTATACCACTGTTTCTTTTATTGCAGAGTTGTAAAAATACCCAAGTGCTTTCAAGTTCTGCCCATTTTGATAAATCTTCTTTGAGAGTCTTCTTCCTTCTGTTGTTGTCAGTTGTGGCTGTGTCAGCTGTTTGCGTTTCCATCGTACACCTGTCATTATCAGCTGCAGGACTCTCCCTTTTGTCGCGACAGCCGTGCCTCAGCAACAACTGTGAAATCTGGAGTTTAGTCACTCGAGGTTAACCCAAGTCGAGCCGTGGTTGTCCAAATGTTTTAGACACTTTCATGTTTGGTATAGTAAGCGATTGTCATTTAAATTAGTAAGTAAGTAAGTAATATTTATTTATATACTAATTAATCAGTTATTGTTTAAACACGAGGAGTGAGCACATACGGGGATCAAAAAATATCTTCAGAAGTCAGGTGCTCTTCGAGGATCCGTAAAAAATGTATAAAACAAAAAGGAGACAGTCTGTAACTTAAAAATCCTTTATTGTGGAAGGCCGCGATGAAGACCAGAAAGTGTTCGAAACGCGTCGTTATGTCCCTTCCACGATAAAGATTTGTAAGTGCCTCGGACTTTTTACTTTTTGCTTTCTCTATATTTGTCTGTTTTCATGTATTGATCAATTACTACACCGGGAGAGTCTCACTGAGATGTCAGAATCTGTTTTGGCCCCAGACAGAGGGTGGGGGTGGGAGTTACGGGGGACTGTTTTACATGTTTGTAGTGGTAGGGGAAACCGGAGCACCCAGAGGAAACCTACGCAGACTCGGGGAGAATATGCAAGGTTTTACACAGAAAGGCCTGGTGGTGGAATCGAACCCAGGACCTTATTGCTGTGAGGCACTAACTGCAGCGCCACCTTTCGCCCCTTTTCAGAAGTGAAGTGATATGTGTCTGGGTGGGTCCCGTGCCCACAGACTGACAATGCTAACCCGCTAGCTCAACGATGCCCAATAGGGAAGTGCTCATGAGTGAAGTTTTCCTCCAACTCCCCCTGGCTTCCTTTGAAAAGTAAAAACTCCTTGAGCTGGGTAACCGTTTGTGTCATCCTCACCATTCTGGGCTAAAAGAATTTGTGTTTTAGCAGAGCACACTTTATGATCATGGTGTTTATGATTTAATATTGTCTTTGTAAATCTAAACATGGGCCATATTAGGGTTGACCAATCAGATGCCTTAATTCTCGAGGGGGAATCTCCAGCTTGCCTGTTACTCTGACACTAACCCCATTTTCTCCCCACAGATAAATATTCTGAATTCGACCTCAACGACCAGGGAGAGATCGGTGAGTGTTTTTGTTTTTGTTTCCCTCTCTGTCTGCTCTCTCTCTCTCTCTCTCTGACTGCTCTCTTCAAAACAGCAATCAAACATGTGTATTATCTGGGCCAAGAGACGGCTTAGATTTCACGGCGGTGTCTTTTTACAACAACACAAATCTGTACCAGGCATGAGGTGTTTTTCAAACGGGAGTCACACAAAATGATCATCAGTAGGATGATAGGATTTTCAACAGGTCACCGGTACAGTACAGTATTGTGATTTTTGCACACAATAACAAGAACATTCACTATTTTTAAAGAAAAAGAAGTAGAAGCATACAGTCGGGAAACCTGATCCCTGAAAAGAATAACAGTAGATTTATTAGTGGGTGAATATATTGCATCCATTACATTTTATAATTTTTATTGCATACATGTCGCGTCATACTAGAGACGCATATAATATGAAATTATAGATATATATTCTTGGCGTTTTTTTATAATTTATTGAAAAAATGTTTGTCCCTTTTAGTCTTGATTGGCTTTTGCGGGATTTTAGGGTTTTTTAGATTTTTGCTTTTTTGTAACTATTATTTTATGCTTGATCACTTTTAGATCAGGGTATGGGGAAGGAAGTGGGGAAAAATGCACAATAGAGAGATACAAAGTGTCTTTCTATATTTTATATGCAAAAACAACACAATAAAATAAAAAAACATATTTTAAATTGATCAATTTTTTCCGCATTCATTACCATCATTGTTTTGAGGTAAATGTAACTTCCAAGCGACTTCCTGGTGTTTTTAAGCAGAACTGATCTTGATGTGTATTTCGCTGGTTTTCCTTTTAGAATTGATGGGTCTGAAGAGGATGATGGAGAAGCTGGGAGTACCTAAAACTCACCTAGAACTAAAGAAAATGATCGTCGAGGTCACGGGAGGAAGCAGTAACACCATCAACTACAGAGACTTTGTGAAGATGATGCTCGGGAAGCGCTCTGCAGTCCTTAAGCTGTAAGTAAACATTCAACTCTGAGATGTATCCAAAAGAAATGTCTGTTTTTTTAGGTAGAGACTGGTTTTTAATCTCTCCTGAGACTTTTGAGGAGAATTATCATGACCACTGTATTGACAAGTGTGTGTTTGTCCTTTCACAAGCCTGGGAACATGGTAATCCGTTACTCAAAGAAGAAATATTACATTTTCTTTGGTCGTTACAAATTAGAATAAGAGTTTTTACTTTGTCGTGGCTTGTTTATGAAAGTGAAATAACATCTTCACTAGAAAATACATGTTGAAACTAGTATTGGGGGTAACAACAACAACAACAAAAATGCTGCAGCTCTGCAATACCCCTCTGCTACCACCAGAGGGAGGTGTTGATTTTTTTTTTGTTATTGTTCAAATTTGAGCATTACCAGCTGCAAACACGGCTATGGGATTTGTAAAGAACGTAATTTCTAGGGCTGTCACAATTATTTTTTTTTTATTGATTAATCGCATAGTAATGGTGACCTAACTCACAATTAATCACATTTTTAACATTTTATTTCAAATCCACTCCAATTGAAGTTAAATGAGATTATCACACCTGTCATTCAGTACATGCGTTAATACGTTAAAACATTTTTAACGCAATTAATGAAACGTTCGATTAATGAAACATGCGCGATAATTTTGACAGCCTTAGTAATTTCACTTGAGACATTCCCAAAACTAATTTAGGTGACATGCTTTTGTTTTTGAAAGGCAACTGCTCTGAGGATGATGTCATAGTGGTACAATGACATCATACTATTACAGGACTGAGGCGGGAGCTTTTTGACAGAAGGGGCGGAGTTACATGTTTGTGCCAGAACTATGGATGGATCTAAAAAACATCTCCAGATCTGTGACTCATGAAAAACATTGTTGTAACATAAAGAATAGACCAAAAAGGGGCAAACAATATATACATATCTTTTTAATCTCTTCAGAAAATATACTGTACATAAAGGCCAAGTAGAAAGTTTTGGACATACATTTCCAGTGGTTTTCAGGTGAACTGTGTCTGTGTGCGATGCAGGCTTTTGAGGCCAAAGTCTGCACAATATGTCTTTTTGACTTCTTTTTATCCATAATTCCAGACAGACAAGAGAGTAAATCAACTTCCTCAGTCTCAACATTTGAATACAGACGTTCATGCTAGCACTGACCTATTGAACTAACTGAATAAAAAGGGGGCATTCTGTCAGAGCCCGACGTGTGAAACGAGGCAAAGATGGTGCCAGGTTTCTTCTGGCAGATCTCGGGCTTAGTGCGGCTTTGCTGAAGTCTCCCAAAAAAGGAAAATAAAGACAGCCGTGTGAATAGTTTGTATCAGAGCCTTCACTCTGGCAGCAGCGCAGCTTGGTTAACTATTCTTCATTTTATGTTTTGATATTCCTGAAAATGTTGTATTTAGGAGTTTTTTTCACAATTACACTTGAGTTAAAATGTCTTGGATATTTTTTTAATGATAATGGATGGAGTTTATGCACTTTTTTAGACACTCAAACACTCCTCACATGGCATTGTTCATTCACTCCATACTTGGTGGTGATACTGTGGCACCTGTTGACCCCAGAAGTCTCCCATCACTGTACTAACCAGGTTTGGCCCTACTTAGCTTCAGAGGTCTGACAGATACTGATCAAGAAGGCGCACAATACATGAGAAATGGGGAAAAAACCATTCAAAGTGCTTTTTTAAATTCTCAGAAACATTGCCAAATTTTTAAGGACCATAGTCTGTCTGTCTGTGTGGATATCGTTTTCAATGTGGTTCCGTCAAGATTTCTCTTTTTCCCACGGGAATTTTTTTGAGATTAATTTGTTTTGTGCTGCAGAAGTAGGGAAAATGATAAAAGAATCATAATCTCAATTTTTGTCAAGATAAGATACACTTTATTAATCTCACACAGGAGAAATGTACAGAAACACTCAAGAATTGTGCAAAAAGTAAGAGATATGCAAACATGTTAAATGCAGAATTTAAAAAGTGGCAAATTAGAAAGTAGCAATCAAGAAACGGTGTCAATAGAGGTGCACGTTTTTTCAGTCTTAATGCACTGATTTAAAGTGACTTGTTGTACAGTCTGACAGCGGTGGGGATAAATCTTGTATTGATGTGCATTAAGATGACTCCAATCATGAGACTGAAGAGAACTCACTGTTTTGGAGGACGAACTTAGCCAAGGCCACTTAATTCACTGTTCACAATGTTTTTTTTGTTTTTGGCAATTTAAAGCAGCAGTAAGCGATTTTTGGGTGTTAATATACGTCTTAAATATTGATATATTCCAATAGCCATCACTTATATAGAGTGTTTGTACCTAAACACGGATCTCTCAGTCCTTCCAGTCTTCTCCCACCTATTTAATAAAAAAAACTCACATCCTATGCGCTTATCCAATGACGAGAGAGCACGCCTTATAAGGGGTTTCTCCCGTGTGTGCACGCGCACTCTTCAAAACAAACATGGCGGAGAAGGAAAAGCCGCCTCCAGCGCTGCTGCAGACTAAATACCATGGCATGGATCTATTAAATACAGGCAAAACGCCAGAAACAGAGGAACGACAAAAAGTAGGAGCAACATGGTGACCAGCTGCATTCATGTTGGCGACCTCTAGCTCCGTGGATTCCTCTCTCCGACTGAACAGGTGAGCATGTTACTCAGTAGTGGCAGTAGTAGTTGTTTTATTTATACATATTGTTGCCTGAGACTGTAATGCAGGTTTTCACCAAGTTAGCTAGTTAAAAACCCCAGCTGTTGTAGAAATACGGCCGCATTTTGTGGCAATAACTGCGCATTACCTTGGCTTAGCTTTGAGAAACTACAACAGACAACACAACATCGAAGCCTTAGCCCAGCCTTATGGGCTAGACACACGGGAGGCGACATCGCATCGCCTCCATTCATTTCAATGGGACGTGCGCGACATAGCGTCAATCGCTAGCGAGCCTCCTGCTCAGCGACGGGCGAAAAACGTGCGTGTGAAATCCTCCTGCTCGTGCATGTATCGTGCACGCGCAGGTCAGCGACGCGATCCCAGAAAGTTGAAATCGGCTCAACTTTTCGACGCTGTCGTCAAGCCGCATCGCGCCCCGTCTGTCATGTTATCTGAGCGACAGCGTTGAGTTTCGCTGATCGCTCTCATTTGTCGCCTCCCGTGTGTCTAGCCCATTAGTCATCCATAAACTCCGGTCAATTATTAGTTCCCCACATGTACAAAATTAAATGAGTACCATTTGGTAAGACCATATCACCAGAGTTCCCCCGTGAAGTGGTGTTAGCATTAGCGTTCGCTGTTAGCATTAGCGTTCGCTGTTAGCATTAGCGTTCGCTGTTAGCATTAGCGTTCGCTGTTAGCATTAGCGTTCGCTGTTAGCATTAGCGTTCGCTGTTAGCATTAGCGTTCGCTGTTAGCATTAGCGTTCGCTGTTAGCATTAGCGTTCGCTGTTAGCATTAGCGTTCGCTGTTAGCATTAGCGTTCGCTGTTAGCATTAGCGTTCGCTGTTAGCATTAGCGTTTGCTGTTAGCATTAGCGTTAGCTGTTAGCATTAGCGTTCGCTGTTAGCATTAGCGTTCGCTGTTAGCATTAGCGTTAGCTGTTAGCATTAGCTGTCTGTAGTTGTGAATATGATGTGGCTGCTACGATCACTTCTGATCTGTATGAATCGTTTGTTTTTGCCAATAAACATAGTTGCTTGCACTATATATATATGTAGGTCTGCATTTCATTCTTCAATGACTAAGTTTTGCAACTTGCACTCTGTATATTAGTTTTATTGTTATAAAAACAATATCTCTTTACCTCAAATCTAACTTCCGTGACCACTACATACATTTTTATTATTATGTATTGAGAATAAGTAAGAAAAGTCTTGCTGACTACTACCAAATAAATTATGAGCATGATATAATATAGACATTGTAATAATTTACATGTCTTCATTGCATTCTTTTCTCTGTATCTTTTCCAGTATGGCCTAAATCAATTGGAATGAGGTCTTCAATGTACAAGAGTTCAAAAGCCTCCATAATGCAAGTTAAATAACTATTTAAAAAAAAACAATGCCATAACGACTAGATACTTTTCTGCCGACCTCTTCTTTCTCTAGTATTGACTGGGAAGACAAGACTTTGCTTCCAGAATTAGAAGATCGGCCATTGTCATCTCCTGAGGAAGACTTTACACCCCACATTTGTCATGTAGGTTGTTGTGAATGCATATATGGGACGCAGTGATTATGATAATGATGTTGTGATGTGTGTGTCGTTCATCCCTACAGTTGTGTTGCTGCCCTGAGGTCCAAAATGAATATCGATCATGTTCCAGGAGTCAGTGTTGACAAAACTGTCGCTGAGTTTCTTCAACAATCAAGAGGAGTGAGATAATCACTCGACTCCCAAAACAGCCGATGTAAGTGTCTTTCTCTCACAATGCACAGTCCAAATAAACATGTTCAAGGATCCTGTGGATCAGGGGCCACTCCTGGTGACCAATAAATACTGATGTTGTTGATGATGAATATATCAAAGTCATATTTGAGTAGATAAAACTGATGTCTCTTCTATTATGTTTCAAAGGAAAATCTCTGCCAGAGGAAGACTCCAGTTCCTTCAACCTGGGCCCCTGAAGCGTGGCTGTGTGTGCGTGTGGCTGTGTGTGCTTGTGACTGTGTGTGACTGTGTGTGCTTGTGGCTGTGTGTGCTTGTGGCTGTGTGTGCTTGTGACTGTGTGTGCTTGTGACTGTGTGTGCTTGTGACTGTGTGTGCTTGTGGCTGTGTGTGCTTGTGACTGTGTGTGACTGTGTGTGCTTGTGGCTGTGTGTGCTTGTGACTGTGTGTGCTTGTGACTGTGTGTGACTGTGTGTGCTTGTGACTGTGTGTGCTTGTGACTGTGTGTGCTTGTGTGCTGTGTGTGTGTGCTTGTGACTGTGTGTGCGTGTGACTGTGTGTGCGTGTGACTGTGTGTGCGTGTGACTGTGTGTGCGTGTGGCTGTGTGTGCTTGTGACTGTGTGTGCGTGTGACTGTGTGTGCTTGTGACTGTGTGTGCGTGTGACTGTGTGTGCGTGTGACTGTGTGTGCGTGTGACTGGGTGTGCGTGTGGCTGTGTGTGCTTGTGACTGTGTGTGCGTGTGACTGTGTGTGCGTGTGTCTGTGTGTGCGTGTGACTGTGTGTGCGTGTGACTGTGTGTGCGTGTGACTGTGTGTGCGTGTGACTGTGTGTGCGTGTGACTGTGTGTGCGTGTGACTGTGTGTGCGTGTGACTGTGTGTGCGTGTGACTGTGTGTGCGTGTGACTGTGTGCGTGTGGCTGTGTGTGCTTGTGACTGTGTGTGCTTGTGACTGTGTGTGCGTGTGACTGTGTGTGCGTGTGGCTGTGTGTGCTTGTGACTGTGTGTGCTTGTGACTGTGTGTGCTTGTGACTGTGTGTGCTTGTGGCTGTGTGTGCTTGTGGCTGTGTGTGCTTGTGTGTGCGTGTGACTGTGTGTGCGTGTGTCTGTGTGTGCTTGTGACTGTGTGTGCGTGTGACTGTGTGTGCGTGTGTCTGTGTGTGCGTGTGACTGTGTGTGCGTGTGACTGTGTGTGCGTGTGTCTGTGTGCTTGTGGCTGTGTGTGCTTGTGTGTGCGTGTGACTGTGTGTGCGTGTGTCTGTGTGTGCTTGTGACTGTGTGTGCGTGTGACTGTGTGTGCGTGTGTCTGTGTGTGCGTGTGACTGTGTGTGCGTGTGACTGTGTGTGCGTGTGTCTGTGTGCTTGTGGCTGTGTGTGCTTGTGGCTGTGTGTGCTTGTGACTGTGTGTGCTTGTGGCTGTGTGTGCTTGTGACTGTGTGTGCTTGTGGCTGTGTGTGCTTGTGGCTGTGTGTGCTTGTGGCTGTGTGTGCTTGTGACTGTGTGTGACTGTGTGTGCTTGTGACTGTGTGTGCTTGTGGCTGTGTGTGCTTGTGGCTGTGTGTGCGTGGCTGCTTATGAATTATTTTGAGGAAATGTGTTCAAACAAGCTACAACATAAAGATTAACATTTTGTTAGATATCTCTGATAGTGTTCGCTGCAGCAGCGATGGATAAGGACCTGGATAATAACAGTGTTATTCATTTGAGCAAAAAGTGATAACACAAACGTTGCCTTACCATCACTTGTAATTACTTGTCTTAGTAGGGACATTGTGTATATTTTTCCGGCTATAACTTCAAATCTTTTACATAATAAAGTTTCTTAGACTCGTTACAGACTGTATTTGTTTTCCTACTATAAAACAAAGCACATTGAAAGAGGTGTATGTATTTTTTTTTATTTTGAAATAGTACAACTACAAACATATTTCAGAACTGCAGAGTGGACGTGCACCATGGGGGCCGCTGAGGAAAGCACGTTTTCAATGTCTGTTGGCACCTTTCACAGACGCATCAGGGAAAGGATCTGGTCATCAGCTTCTCTGGACAGAGGGCGTTCAGTGCTTCCTGAAAGAACCGTTATGACAAATGACTTTATATATTCTGTTACTTGTAGCTTTTCTTTCAAAGTGGTGAGTTTCCTTACAGTGTAATAGTGTAACGTAATTAGTTATGACAGTATTTTTGCGTTTCGGACAAGCTTTACTGGAATTGTTTTTCAGTCCCACATCTCACTGTACAGCTCTGATACACTTTGATTTTGTCTTCATTCTCTGAACAGTAAGCACATAATACAGATGTTGATTACATCAATAAATGTATCTTTATTTTGTGACATTGAGAAGGCAGCTTCCAGTGAGATGCAGCTTTACTTTCACATAATACATTACTACAGTGTTGTCTATAAAGAACTCCAAATATACAAATTGTGAGGAAATAAGTAGCAGTAATGTATTACTTTAAATAACCTTCATGTAAAGCTTTATGTATATGCATTACATTCATCTAATACATATGCACTGTAACAGATTAACATCTGTGCATAATGTTGAGACACGTCACACTGCAATCTGCAACATTATGTTTATCACAACAGTTATCGGTGTACCAACTATAAAAGCAGTGTTATTCTATAAAAGACTGGATTGTTTTTATCTCTTTCTTAGTGATGCTATCCTAGCTAACACCAAGCTGCTTCCAGTGTTATAGCTAGGTTACAACTGAGCTATTCTATGCTAATATTTCACTCCCAGAGTTTGTTGTTAATATACTTACGAGTAGACCTGACGGAGATGAACGTGCTGCTGCCATCACCAAGACGATGCGCGTTCATGTGGTGTGACGAGGGGACGGGGGCGGGGCTACTAACTCGCTCAGGCAGAAGAAACTGCCGGAAACGACCAAATCGCTTACTGCTGCTTTAAGTTAATGTAATAACTTGTGTTTCACCCTGTAAGATTTTTTTTTGACTATTTATATGTATCCGTATGGGATCGCCCTACGTCTAAGGGATGATATTGATACGCTGTAAAGTCTTATAAAGGCTTTTTAATTTGAACTTTAAAATTTTTGGAGTGCCTTGAAGTTGGTGTATAGTAGGAATTCATCAAAATCTCCAAAAAGCAATGTGATCTTATAGAATCTCTCGCTCTGCTTCTCGATCGTGTATATGGAGGTCAGTGGTGGTGGTTCTTTGTATTTGGTTTTTAATGACGTTTTTTAAATTCTTTTCCAGTGTCTTAATCTTCGAGGACAAGGCCAATGGCTCTCCATCGAAGCCGTCGGGACCACCTCCAAAGCGGGACATCTCCAGTCTGCCTTAAGCCCAGAGTCTGCGTTCTCCAGCAGAGGGCCGTGGTGTCTAAAATAAGCCTTCCTCCTTCCATCCTTGTGATTGGTGTTGTACGGGAACAGTATGTGAGGATTTGAACTTTGTGACTGTATCATAATTATCCCCAGTGTTCATGTTGGACTGTGAATATATCCTTTTTACCCATTTTGAAAACGTAGCAAAAGGCTAGTTGTCCATTTTGTGTTTTTCATAGATTTAAGGGAAATTGTGACATTGTGTTATTTTACAAGGTGTGCTTTGAATGCACTGAAACATCTCATCTCACTTATTCACTGTGCTCTTTGATTGGTGCTTCGCTGTAGCTGCTTCGGACTAGGCGCAGTTGCTTTAAAGGCCCGTTGTGAAGTTTGAAAGAATACTGTTGGTATGGGTAACTACTGAATGTTTTTAGTGAGGGCTGAGCTAAAGACGTAAACCTCGGATCACAATCTGTCCATTTCATGTCAGTAGTTGTCAGTAGTTTCACAAACCTACGTAACGCTACAATCATTTTCTCCAAGTGCCTCTGTTTGCAACTTGATTGAGGAAATGCATATGATATTGAATTGGGAAAGTAATAGCTGTAACTTTTTTACATTTCTTTTTTAAACTTATATTTGTCAATTAGATTCTGTATGTTGTACATATATGAAATGTTCTTAACAGTTGTCTTTTCTAACAGTGTTTCCATAACCATTAATGACACAATTTCTACTACTTTCCCAATCCCTGTTTGGTCATTCTTTTTGGTTTTGTTTTACTATTGTGCCTCACTATTTTTGTTTTTTGTTAATTGACCATATTGTGAATTTTTGAATTTATTTTGAAACCCAGGGTCCATGTTTTTAGGTAATTGAAGTCTGTTTTAAAATTATTTAACTTGTTGTAAGATATGTAATGCAGGCACCAAAGTAATAAACAATTATTTCACTGAAAAAGTGGGTCATTTGTGCTGCTCTACCGTATAATGGGTAGACACACGGGAGGCGACATCGCATCGCCTCCATTCATTTCAATGGGACGTGCGCGACATAGCGTCAATCGCTAGCGAGCCTCCTGCTCAGCGACGGGCGAAAAACGTGCGTGTGAAATCCTCCCGCTCGTGCATGTATCGTGCACGCGCAGGTCAGCGACGCGATCCCAGAAAGTTGAAATCGGCTCAACTTTTCGTCGCTGTCGTCAAGCCGCATCGCGCCCCGTCTGTCATGTTATCTGAGCGACAGCGTTGAGTTTCGCTGATCGCTCTCATTTGTCGCCTCCCGTGTGTCTAGCCCTTAACCAGGTCCTTGAGTTTATCCAACTGTGCAGTTTGCACAACGCTGACATCTGCTGGTCAGAGTTATAATTGAAGACATTCACATCAGAATCAGAAGGATTTTTATTGCCACGTAAGTAACAGGAAGTCACAGACTTGGAAATTGCTTTGGCTCAGTGCAACAGTCAGAAGAAAGAATAGAGTAAGGCATAATAAATCAGCATACACTTCTAAGGAATACAATTTAAAATGGGATGATTACAGTTACTATGTACAATATGCAAGTGCCCATGGTGCACACAATATGCGCAGTAGGCAGTGCAATAAGGCGACAGCAGTAAAGTGACTTTATGATTGGCAGTAAGGTGACTTAGAGGGGCAGGGGGACAGGTTATGAAGAGTTCAAGAGTCCAACGGCAGAGGGGAAGAAACTGAGAGCGCTTGGTTTGTCTTAAATAGTTTGTATACATGTACACATTATGACAGACTAACTCCAGAAAGAAAAACATAGGACATTGCAACATTATTTTGTTAAGTATTACAGAATGTAAAATAACTGAAAGCCACAATGTATGGTAGAGGAGGAAAAAACAAGTCTATTCAAGAAAGCAGAGATCGGCGCACATGTCCGAACTAATATTTACACGCTTTGGTCCAAACAAAGGCCTGTGTCCCTGTGCGCCATCTCATGTGGCCCTCTGCCTTCCTGACCCAAGGTAGTCTTTGAGATCAGAAACACAAATTCAGTGTCATCCAGCCAACTTCAACTTTGCCATTACAGGCATGCAAAATTGTAGAAAAGCTAAACCCCTGTGAAATTCAGCCATCGACTTTATGTGTATATTCTGACATGTGATTGTGTCAAAATTCCATTAATCGCATTGCTAATGTTTGTGAGATGGTAATCTGTAATTCAGCCAACTGCAGCTCCATCACAGCTAATAAATCATAATAAAGCTCAGAACTCCCTGAATCCAGGCAAAACAGTCCGGGTTGTTGGCCCCTGAGCAAGCCTGGTGCAACTAAAGTGGCCCTCTAAAAGTTTGGACTCCCCTGCCGTGCGTAACGTGCGCACGCGTTCGTGAATCGGCGCTGCGCTGACTGTTGCGCTGCGTGCGTACAGAGCTGAGCGGCTGAAGTGCAGAGCAGACCCACAGCTCCTCCATCGCCGCCCGCAGCATTAAACCTGCCGCAAGGCCACAGCGGGAACATGGCCACAGAGAAAACCAAACACGAAGGGAGAGTGAAGATCGGACATTATATCCTGGGGGACACACTCGGTGTAGGAACCTTCGGAAAGGTTAAAGGTAGGTTCCAACTGCGTGCTGCAAACTGAAAGATGGAGGCTGTTAGCTCCGTGCTAACTTAGCAGCAGGAAGCTAACTTGTTCTGCTGAGAAGTTAGCACACTTGTTGTCCTGTCACTTGACTCAATTGTTAAACAAACACGTGTGAGTACGTTTCTGCTGGTTTGGCTCACCGGGCCATGGTGTCAGTGGTTTATTGGCCGTTTACAGCAGGATCTTTACTCCTGGATCTTAGCTTCAGCCGCTGCGTATGGAGCGGAACCAGGAGCCACAAGTCTCCTCAGACAGACCTCTCACCGGGAAGTCACTGCTCTTCCCTTCGAAGCCGCTCTGGACGCGGACTGGGTGCAAATGAACCTCTGAGATGCTCTGCCAGTGTTTCTAAGTAACTACGTCACCACTTGGCACTCGGGAAAGTTTAATTTGTGTGACTGACCCCAGAATGGTGCCGTGCCAACCTGACGCCCCCCAGCTCTCTGAACACTGACACAGGGCAATGATCACAATAATAATAATAATGCATCGGCTTTATATAGCGCTGTTTTGGACACTCAAAGACGCTTAACATGTCGTCATTGATTCACTCCATACTGCCCTGGGGCACACTGACAGAAGCGAGGCAACCAGTCTGTGCCATCGGCCCCTCCGACCACCACCAACCATTCACACACACACCAGACTCATTCTAGGCAATGGGGGTAAAGTGTCTTGCCTAAGGACACAACGGCAGTTTGGCACTTTACAGCCGCAGCCGCCCCACTGTGGCTGGTGTTCCCAGAAGTTAAGTGTCTTGCCAAGGACACAACGACAGCAGACATTAGTGGGAGTCGATGGTGAAAGTTGGGCTCAAACCCACGACCCTCTGGCCAATGCTCTACCAAGTGAGCTACTGTCGCCCAATGATGGCAATGCAGTATGATTATTAGTGTAACATCGACCTGACGTGTGTTTTCTTAGTGGGCCAACATGAACTGACCAAGCACCAAGTGGCTGTGAAGATCCTGAACAGGCAGAAGATCCGCAGTTTAGACGTCGTGGGCAAGATCCGCCGCGAGATCCAGAACCTAAAGCTTTTCAGGCACCCTCACATCATCAAACTGTAAGTCCTGCATTCATCTCCTCACTCTGTAATCCCACTATTATGCGTGAATGTCTCTCAGCTCTGCATGTAGCTCACCAGCCCCTCACAGGTAGCTTCCCTAAAGGATTTAGAATTTACATCACCTTGAATGATTCACTTTTAGTCAATACTATTATAAGTATGATTAGGGTTATACAGTGGTATGGTTTGTGTTTTCCATATTTGACATGTGTTTTACATGTGCTTTCCATGTTTTGTTGCACCTGTAGATTTTTATGACTGCAAAAAGGAGCAATCTGCCTCTTCTGTTGTATAAAAGTAGCTCTCAGATTGAAAAAGGTTGGACACCCCTGATATAGAATAAAAACAATGTGTCTGACGGCTTTTTAAATGAGGTTTTGGCTTCAATAAGTGTTTTTCAGCCAAAACCCTTTCAATCATTTGTTTGTGCTTTGAATTTACTATTGTGGCCTGAGTAAAGATACTGACAGCAATCGATAAATAAGTAATTTTAATGCTGTCAAGTTTGTTTACTGTATTCAGCCAGGAATTGCTCTCAGCCCTAAAATAGCAGTTTCAAACCAGGAATGTAAACTGTGTGTGCTTGATATGATCTGGGGCAGTTTAGTACAAAACACTGGGGCAGAGTCCACGCTACACATGCACTTCAGTCTCCATTTTAATAGACCGGTTATTCATTCTTTATAATGTATAACCTTACAAAGTTTTAATCATTCAGAATTACTGGGTATTGTGATTATGGAGACTGGAGTTGTTATGACTCAGGATGTGTTATTGCTGCTGGACAATGGTCATTTATTGCTCAGATTTGGGGCTTTAAATTCTTTGGATTCTGAGTTGTAGTCAATTATTAATTTCTGCCGCAGCATTGTTTCATGTCTCGCTCTCAGGTAGTGGACCATTAGACTCAAGGTGAACTTTCTAAAGGATTCATAATTCAATGTGTTTTTGGCTTATTTTACAAACACCTGAGAGAAGTGCTAATTCAGGGGTGCCCAAAGTGGGGCCCGCGGGCCAAAGTTGGCCCGCCAGACCATTTCAGTTGGCCCGCCAAACATTGCCCACCTCCGCTATAAGTTTCTATCTGCGTCCCTCAACCTCGCTGAACAAACGGTGACATGTCTGAGGTCGCGCGGGCGCATAGTCGCCCTCTGAATTCCGACTGTCCAGTACTCAAGTGTTGTATCGAGATACACTCCTCACTCATGGTTCACATCAACTTGCACTAAAATGTTTTTTAAAATCAAACACATCTTTCAAAACAATTGGGTGCAAGGCCCCTTTATGTTCTTTTTTTTCAGCCTACTATTATTATTTTTTGGAGCTATTTAATGTTTTATAAAATTGAGAGGATTGTGCTGCCGAACTGCCACTCCCCCTCCTCACCGGAGGGAAATGGCGAGTGGAACTATTCACCTGCGCAATCCGCACCCACCCGGTGTGTTAAAAAGGACGGACACAAACACTTCAGAGTGAGTTCAAGCAGGACAAGCAGGGATCGCAGCGCACGATCCACGTAAGTAGAAGCAACAAATACTGCGCAAAACAAACCCTTCTACAGCCCCATGAAAGAAGCCGGTAAGCGCCGTCCTCACTCGCGATCATTGAATGTCAGACAGAACTTACGCGGAGTTTTATGATGCGTTCAAGAGCCCTTTGGAGGAGCGGAAACTCGGACTCTTTGACAGTTACTTTGTTTTGATTGTTTATAAATGTTGTACTGTGTTTAGGCAAAACAAAACAAAACTCCAGGAACAAATCATGGTTAACTAGTCTGATTTCGTTAGTTTAATATTCAGTTCACTACTAATTGAGAATACTTGTCCTATGTTAAAACAGAGTTAAAACCTGATCATGTTTAGAAAATGCAGTTAGCAATTATGTTCCCAAATTCATTACTTAATGTTAAAATGTATTGTTTAAAAGTGTGCTAAAACCAGATCTATTGATCAGTGATGTCTCCCCTTTTTGATAAAAGCTAAGATAAAGTAATATGATTCAAATGTAGTTAAAAACTTTTGTTCAAAATAAATATATGAAAATAGACTTGGAAATTGCTTTGGCTCAGTGCAACAGAGATAATAAAAATAAAGAATAAAAAACACTTTAAATTTAAAATAGAGTTACAGTTACTATTTACAATATACAAGTGCACATGGTGCACACAAAATGTATGTTTCTGTTCTCTTTTTGAGGTTTTATTATATGATTTTAACCTTTAAATAAGCCATGACAGAAAATCTCCCTCCTCTGGACCCTGATTACCCGGCCGGAATCTTTCCGTACTGTAGTCTCCTCAAACCTGCATATTTCCCTGGAGTCTCCACTTCACTAAGACTGTGTTGATTTCATTCATTCAGCTGTGATTTGCACTGCTAGACAATAATTAATGCATTTAAAAGAACTTGATCAAATCTACATTTATTTGTGTTTCATGCATAATATCGGTGTATTTGGCCCGCGGCCCACTGGCAAATTTTTACTTTGGCCCTTGGAAGCAAAAGGTTTGGGCACCCCTGTGCTAATTGTATTGTATTAGGGACTCACTGACCCAATATCTGTGTTTGATATTTCTTCAATATTTAAACATGTATTGGATCAGGTCTTTTTAGCAGCAGAATTATGAAGCTTCTGTTAAGCTGATATCCTATGTCACATGTGTCAAAGTCAAGGCCCGCGGGCCAAATCCGGCCCGCGAATGAATTTTACATTGCCTGCCATTGACGGACTATTACGTCAATTGCGTTTTCCGCTATTTTCATGTTCCCAGATGTCTATTATATCTAATATGTTTGGGGATAAGCTTGAGAGCATATTGAATCGAGCCAGCAGGTGGCAGCAGCGCTCTCTGAATGGTTTGAAAACAGCTAGATGCACTTGTTGGGCCTCTTTTTTCTCAGCTTTTTGGTGATTTCAGTAAAACTTCCCTCTACTCAACTGGGGATTACAAGCTAGAAACAAAATTATTTTTGCTGATGAAAGTAGACAGTCTATTCTTTCAGAATCTGGTTTCGGATTTCAGATAGTCATAGTACACAATATTCTGTGGGTCTTGAAAAATCTATAAAAATCATCAGAAACTGCTGGCAATATGGGAGTACCTGTTCTGAAATAGGCTGGCAGGCAATGAGTTAATAAACATTGAACCAGTCCGGCCCTCGGCTCGCAGCAAATTTTTTTTTTTTGGCCCTCTGATTTATTTGACTTTGACATGCCTGTCCTATGTGAACCTCAGCTTTTTTCAGATACATTTGTTCTGTAGTTGCTTCAGGATAAAATACAGGTTAAATGACATAATTGTAAGTTTGTAGTACATTAGCAGTGATCTGAGGCAAAGCTCTTTTTGTTTACTAGTGTCTGAATCTAGGGACATGGAAAAAGCTGGATTGGTGCAGCCCTAATTTGTATGAATGGGCATTTCCTTTACTTAATTAGGCCCGAGCCCCGAACGGGGAAAGGGCCTATTGTTTTTGCTCGAGATATGTAAAATTCTGCATTTTGAGCCTTAGGCCCCGTCTACACGTAGCAGGGTATCTCACAAACCGAAGATATTTTCCTACGATCTGGCCTATCATCCACACAAACCCGGAGTTTTCTGTCGATAAAAACGAAGGTTTCTGAAAACTCCGGCCAAAGTGAAGATTTGGGAATTCTCCGGTTATGCGTTTGAGTGTGGACATAAATAACCGGAGTATTCGGCTGTACGTCACTACCAGCGTGCTGCTCTGACGTCACACGCGCGACCTGTGTTTACATCAGAAACAACATGGAGGCCATCAAAACCGCTTTTGTTTTAACGATTGTTCAGGCACTTTTTGCTTGCTTGTTTTTACAAGCTCAAATACTGCTTCATGTTGAAGAGCACAGACGAAGGAGCACTTTAAGGTCGGCTATTTTCCGCCAAATAACCATCCCTCGTCCAAGACATGTTCCTCGTCAAAGACGGCAACGGCAATTTTGGGTCAGACCGGGACGCACTGCCAGCTGGTGGGAGAACTTTGAGATGGAAGTCGTCCTCCCGGAGGAAGGTAGGTTTGTAGGTTTGAAATGTAATTGACAACGCATGTATGCGGTTAGGTGTGGATGCCGTTTTTTAAAAAACCGAGGCTGTGTGGACAGAAGTTTTTTTTTAGGCGGAGGGCGGATTTATAAATGCCCTGCTACGTGTAGACAGGGCCTTAATTTCACCCCCTGAACATGCATGAAAAGTTCACTGCAAAAGGGAAAAATGATCCGCAATCATTTTCATACATGTCGGTTGGAAAGCAGCGACTCCTCGGCCGTTTCACCGATTGGCCTCCATATCACTCCACATTGTCTAAACACATGTACCATCAAAATGGCCTCAGGGATTTTTGATCAGTGAAACATTGTTTGAGCAGCGGAGCGGCAAAATGTGACCTTTTTTTGGCCGTTTTTGACATTAAATTTGCTCCCGTTTGCACAAACAAAGTCTGATTTGTACAAAACAAATACATTGTTCAACTCTAGGGTCTAGGTCATTTGAAAGTGAAATGATTCAAATTGACACATTAGCGCCCCCTACAGACTAATTCAAAGTTTTAGATGGGCATTTTCAAATTTAGTTTTCTCAAAATGTTTGAAATTTTGCACATACATCTGTTTTGCCCTCTTGATTCAAAAAGTCAATACGGTCCAAGGCTTATTTTTTACCCTGTTGCCGTGGCGACGACAAACGCTCCCCATTCATTGCAAATGTACACCTCACACAAACATCAAACCAGCCTCGGCCGTTTCACCTATTCGCCTCAAAATCGCTCCACATCATCTCAACACATGTACCATCAAAATGACTTCAGGGAATTTTGATCAGTGAAACGTTGTTTGAGCAGCGGAGCGGCAAAAAGTGGCGTATTTTTTTTTCAAATTTTGACGATAGAAAAATTGCTTCCGTTTGCACAAACAAAGTCTGATTTGCACAAAACTTGAATCCATGGTTCAACTCTTGGGTCTAGGTCATTTGAAAGTTAAAATTTTGAAATTGGCTCTATAGCGCCACCTACAACAGCCAATTTAAAAATGCCTATGGGAGGGGTTCGAGGTCAAAATTGTCGTAGAACCATGTAATTTGGAACACATGTTCCTCAAGTCAAGACATGGAAAAAAATGTATTATGGCTAAGCCCTCTGACAAACCGGAAGCCCATAAATTTCATTGCAAAATGGAAAAATGAAAACCAATCATTTTCATACACGTCGGTTGGAAAGCGACTCCTCCTCGGCCGTTTCCCCAATTGGCTTCAAAATTGTTCCAAATCATCTCAACACATTTACTTTCAAAATGCCTTCAGGGAATTTTGATCAGTGAAACGTTGCTTGAGCAGCGGAGCGGCAAAATGTGAGGGTTTTTTTGGCCGTTTTTGACAACATGAATTCTTTTCCCGTTTGCACAAACAAAGACTGATTTGCATTAAACTTGAATCCATTGTTCAACTCCAGGGTTTAGGTCAGGTGAAAATGAAAATTTGAAATTGGTCCATTAGCGCCCCCTAAAGACTGAGTCAAAGTTTACATGGGGAGCCAAACCAGCTCTACTTATCATATTCATTACAATTTGACTAACAATCTTCTATGTCTACGGGAACAAATCATCACACGGTGGCGCCACCTCCTTTGAGCGGTGCTGCGTGGTACAGTGTGGTGCGGCGCGATGCGGGGCGGCGTGATGCGGGGCGGCGTGATGCGGGGCGGCGTGATGCGGGGCGGCGTGATGCGGGGCGGCGTGATGCGGGGCGGCGTGATGCGGGGCGGCGTGATGCGGGGCGGCGTGATGCGGGGCGGCGTGATGCGGGGCGGCGTGATGCGGGGCGGGGCGGCGTGGTGCGGGGCGGCTTGGTGCGGAGCGGCGTGGTGCGTGCGGTACGGGGAGTGCGCGCGGTGCAGGGTGTCGCGCGGTAAGGCGAGGGCCGTTCGACGCCGCTTGCGGCTTTAATTAAACAATTCCTCTATCTCGCACAAAAACATGAGGCCTCTCTGTGCTATCTGTGCTAAATATTTCCAAGGACCTTTTTTCATTACTGTAAGTTATTCTTCCCAATATTATCTTGAAGGAATAGATGTATACATTATTATTGCGTTTGTCAGTCTGCTCTAAAATTTTTTGAGACCTCTCATCGGTTTGAAAATGCCATCCTGTCTTTTCATCATGATATTAAATTATATAGTGCCATTGTGTCCTTAAGCAAGACACTTTACCTACCTTTCCTTGTATGAATCTGGTGTGTGTGGAACGATAGGTGGTGCAGATTGGTAGTCTGGCTTCCAGCTGCCCTGGGCCAGCTCTAAGCAATTTTTAAGAACAAATCTAACGGTTAATTTCTTATTGTAGTAGTTTTGAGAGGACCTCTACATGTATTCCAAGCCAGCAGGTTTTTAAGGTTCTTTTACGAATACAAAGTGTAAAAAAGATGGTCCTCTTGTCTTTGAAACAGCCTTGTACACCTCAAACATAAAGAAGACATTCTGACCTCTTTACATTTACAAGCCCCAAGTTTGAAAACCGCAGCTTTTTAAATGAAAATTAGAAAGGTTAAAAGTCTATTCCGCCCAATTTATTAATAACATGGATGGGGCCCTGAAGCATGTCCAGGGGCAGCGCTCAGGGAAGGGACGATTCAGACTTTGGCCCAGCTGAGGATGTGGGCCAACGCTAATGTGCACCCACGCACGTGTATGCACCTGTTTGAGAAAGTCTAGTGAACTGCTGGATCTTGTATTTTCCTTCCTTCTATTTCTGTCCCAGTCCTCACACTGTTTGCTTGTAAATACTCACACACAGATGATCCGAGGATAGTTTATTTTAATGAGTTTTTAACGGTCGCTGTTAGCTGACCTCAATATAGTGGCATCACCTTTACATGATTTCTGTTCTATGAAGCAGAAAAACGCAGCATATTTTTCATACAATTCAATCCCACTTCAATGTAACTGCTGTTGTGATTTGGGGCAATACAAAGATCTCTCGGGGGACTTAACAAAGTTGTCATATATTCACAAACACAGATCAGAGAATCAAACATTACAAACATAGGAAATACAGTGATTAAAAAAACACAGAGCCATTTGTCTGTGTCTACGCTAATGAGAGAATGCATTAAAGATGCTCCAAATGCAAAAATACACCCTTAAAGTGGGTCAAAAGACGAGCGGTGAAGAACCTCTGCTCCAATGGTTTAAAGGCGGTATTTTTCTATTGCACCTCTGATACTATTATTATTTGTGTTTTTGTGCAGCTACCAGGTCATCAGCACCCCCACCGACATCTTCATGGTGATGGAGTATGTGTCGGGGGGAGAGCTCTTTGACTACATCTGTAAGAACGGAAAGGTAAAGCCCCATCACATCCGTACATACATGCTCGCCATCTATTTTTTTGTATGCATAACGATTACTTTCAACAAGAGTAATTCCAGTCTTTGACGTAGATAATGTATGACCCGGCAGTGGCTGGGCAGAAAGCGCATGATGCTACAGAGCGTGCCGATGAGTCAGAGATAATAAACTCCCGTGTTGTTGACAGTTGGACGAGAAGGAGAGCCGCCGCTTGTTCCAGCAGATCATTTCAGCCGTGGATTACTGCCACAGACACATGGTGGTGCACCGAGACCTCAAGCCCGAGAATGTGCTGCTGGATGCACATATGAACGCTAAGATCGCAGACTTTGGTGAGTTTGTGAAGCTCTGTAAAACTTTGTTGTAATGTAATCCATAGAAGTCAGTAGTATTCGGTTACTTTTCTTTGTTTAATGTATTCCAATGTGGTTTTGCTGCAAATGAAATGAATCTGAATCTCTGGTTGTGTTTTGACATATATACATCACTTGAGCTCTTATTTGACACGAGTTGACAAAGATACGTCTGTTACTACGGTTGTCTTTTTGATAGATAGATACTTTATTGATCCCCATAGGAGACATTCAGATGTCCAGTAGCAACAAAAATAAAAAATAAAATAGATCATTCTAAAAAATAACAATAGTAATAAGGAGCAACCCTTCAGGTCACAGCAGCAGAGGTGGAGTAGCCTCTGGGTGGAGCAGGACAGGTCACAGCAGCAGAGGTGGAGTAGCCTCTGGGTGGAGCAGGACAGGTCACATCAGCAGAGGTGGAGTAGCCTCTGGGTGGAGCAGGACAGGTCACATAAGCAGAGGTGGAGTAGCCTCTGGGTGGAGCAGGACAGGTCACATCAGCAGAGGTGGAGTAGCCTCTGGGTGGTGCAGGACAGGTCACATCAGCAGAGGTGGAGTAGCCTCTGGGTGGAGCAGGACAGGTCACATCAGCAGAGGTGGAGTAGCCTCTGGGTGGTGCAGGACAGGTCACATCAGCAGAGGTGGAGTAGCCTCTGGGTGGAGCAGGACAGGTCACATCAGCAGAGGTGGAGTAGCCTCTGGGTGGTCCAGGACAGGTCACAAGGTGGAGTAGCCACTTAGTTCAGACTATTTTTTTTATGCTCTAGTCTAAAGTAAAAAAGTTTGCATTCCTCCAGTGGATTTTCAGCTGATCCACTTGGTCTGGACCATGAATCCTCTCCGCTCCAGTCTGGACCAGTGCAAAACCATGAACACTGTACTGCAGCAACATCTCAGGTAGAAAAAAGCAATACAAATAAAAATTGTAAAGTACAAAACGACAACTGTTTCAGAGCTACTTATGACTTGCAGCCGTTTTAAAGCGCATTCAAAAGTAAACTTTTGGCTGCGAATTATTTGTTTGATTTAGTCCTGGATCTACAGCCCATCTGTCCGTGGGAGCGGATCCTTCCCTCAATTTGGACCTGCCCAAGTTTTCTCACTTTTTCCCCACTGGGTTTTTTTGAATTGCCGATTGCAGGAGGGTCTAAGGACAGCGGTGATCCAGAACTTTTAAGGACATCAATGGACTTCTATTAACGTTTATGGACATTGGTCATCTCCCCTTTATGCACCAATGGCATTTCCTGTGTTTGTAAAGTCCTTGGAGGAAACTGCTGTTGTGATTTAGGGCTACACAAACATGAATAGAATTGATTTGACTTTTAAACGCAATCTATCTTTACGATTCCCAGGTCTGTCCAACATGATGTCCGACGGAGAATTCCTCAGAACAAGTTGCGGTTCCCCAAACTATGCTGCTCCTGAGGTCATTTCAGGAAGGTAAACGTCTGTGTTTTTAGTAACACTAACACACGCTGCCGTCTCTAACCCTGTGATGTCGTGCTCAGATTATATGCTGGACCAGAGGTGGACATTTGGAGTAGCGGCGTCATCCTCTACGCTCTGCTCTGTGGGACGCTCCCCTTCGACGACGACCACGTGCCAACCCTCTTCAAGAAGATCTGCGACGGGATCTTCTTCACGCCGCAGTACCTGAACCCGACCGTCATCAGCCTGCTCAAGCACATGCTGCAGGTCGACCCCATGAAGAGGGCCACCATCAGAGAGATACGGTGAGTACGGGAGCGAGACCTGATCTTTCATTTCGCTCTGCCTCGATGACGTAGTTTCAGGCGTGATTTAAGACGCTAGGACTAGGAGAATTCTGAGACTGCTAGAACGCTCAGAGCCGCCATTTTGAATGCTCTAATTTGAACCGATTTGGAGAAATTACCCAAAGAACGTTTAGTTTTTCACCAGAGTCATCAAAAAGAAAGTCGTTTTTTTTTTTTTTTTTTTTACCTTTACTCACTTTAAGTGCCATAACTGGTCATAGTAATGCAACTAAAATACAGCAAAAGGGAGGCTAATGCTAACTTCTGACAGTAAACGGTGTGTTGCTATGGTAACTAGCACTTGATATTCTCTGGTGGAAAATGAGTTAAAGGTTGAATTCACTTTAGAAATAAATAAATTTGTAAAGATACGGAAAAAGTCACTAAGATGTGAAGGCCAAGAATGCACATGCAATGAGTAATTACACCTACAAAAGTAAAAGCCGTCAAATTGACTGCTCTGGGAGTTCTAGCCTTAAACAGGTCAGTTAACTATTTATGTACAATGTTAGAAAGCAGTCATGGAAGGAACTTATTTATTCCTGTACAAATCATGTTTGAACTACTGCTAAAGGAAACACACTCCGAACACTGAACACACTCCGCTACTGAGGGGGCCTTTCTGCGTGGAGTTTACATGTTCTCCCTGTGTCTGCATAGATGTCCTCCAGTTTCTCCGGTTTCCCCTACGACTAAAACATGTTCAATAGATCCCCTCTCTCTGGGGTGAGGACTCTCCTGACAAAGAGATTCAGTGGGAAATCTCAGTGGGACTTTGCTGGTTAAATAAAAGTCAATAAATAAAATACACACAATAAATATTTAATGGTATAATATAGTATTTGAGATAACAGTTCCATCTGTCTTTCTTGATAATCTATTGACTTGGTAATCAAAGTGAGAGGGATAAATGTAGTTCAGATTTACGACATGACAGAGAGGGCTTAGAGTTTCACCTCACGGACTGAGTTTGTGCCACAGTTTGGGTTATGTGATTTTAAAGATCTGTCAATATAGACATTTTAAACCTCAAAATCTGTACCATGTTATATATGATACTGACTCTGATACAATCCAGTCAGTGGCTAGTGTGAATATAGGCTTGCTATGTATAGGCACATTTAAATCTGCTTTTTAACCCATTCACCAAAACAGAGTAGATAGTAGTGCAATGTTCCCCAACCTTTTTTTGAACCGTGGCACACTACATTTAATTTGTTATTTGTATGTTTAATCCAAAAAACGGCATCAACAAACTTTGACAAGAGAATAATACAATCAATTTACAAGGTTTGAAAAGGGGGTTGGCTGAAGAAAACGCTTGTATAATTCCAACCCCACACACACACTGGTCCAATCACTCTCCAGGGCACACCACCAGCTGGAACTTTCTTTTTTCTTTCTTGATTTTATTAGCTCAATTTTTTCATGGTAATGCGACAAAATACCACAACAATCCAGCAAATGCAACAGTAATACATTCCATAAAAACGGGGTAGGATGAAGAATCTTTGTAAATGTAAATCTTTCTGATCAAAGTGAGTGTATATTGTATCAAATCAAACAAGCACAAAAAAAAGTCTTATCTTCTAAAAAACATTTTCTATTGACATTATTTTGACCGATGAGGCGGTATTGGCTCATTTCCAAAGAGACGCCAAACAACATCTCAAGGGCACACAACACTTATGCGTCATGGTACACTGGTTTTTTTAAAAACACTGTCGTGAGGTGAAACCAAGTAAACTCAAGCACAGAATCCAGCAATGTCAAAATATAAGGATTTAATGGTGATGAATAAAAAATAAATAAATATCTAGAATCCAAACAGAGCACGGAAACCAGACAAAAACAAAGAGAATGGACCAGCAACAAATGAGGAAGAGCTCAGGCCTAAACGCAAAAAGACTTTATCAATCCAGTGTATCGTGCATACGAGGCCGGCGTTTTGGGGGGGTGTAAACGAACATTTTTGAAAGTAGGTCCCAGAGTGGAAAGATTTAAAAACTCTGTATATGCCGCTCCGTGGTTACTGCCTCTCCGCAATGTATCTGAGACGCTTGCGTCATCGCCCCGCCTCTTGTTAAAGCACGCATGCGCCGCACTCAGAAAATAATGACAACAACAATGTAGCTTGTTGGTTTTGTAATCCAGTGTGACCCGAAGCAACAGTTCAACCTCATCGTCCGTCCATACTAATGTAGTACCAGCTCGCCCACTCGCCATGTTGTCTGTTTACAAAATTCTGCACATGCCCAGTTCCCGTCACGGAAGTTTGGGCTTGATCCCGTCATTGCGTCACAGCGCCACCAACAGGTCTGGCATAGTTTCACAGCGTTTTCAGGCGTATTGACTACATTCATATGGACGCACACATTTACTGAGCTAACTCCGTGTTTACAGAAAAAGTTTCTGAAATTATAAGCGTTTTGTCTTCGTGTGGATATAGCCTTAGACACAGGTGAGACACATTAGGGCGGGGCAGTCAAATTGGAACAGGACTAGAAGAGAACTAAAAACAAAAATGGCAAAAATAACTAAAATCCACACCGCGACACATCTAGTAATCCTGATTTTATATTTAATTTTTTCTGGTGAAACTTCCTGAACCCCCTCTTTCCTAAATATCTCATCAGAGTAAAATATTATTCACCAGTGATATTTAGTCAAAAAATCCTCTTGATCTGGAAATGCGTAAAAGTGCATTTTGATTTGCTTTGACCCCGACGTAACGTTTCCATTCTCCGACAGGGAGGACGACTGGTTCAAGCAGGATTTACCAAAGTACCTGTTCCCGGAGGACCCTTCCTACAGCAACAACCTCATTGACGACGACGCCTTAAAGGAGGTGTGCGAGAAGTTCGAGTGCACAGAAGAAGAAGTCCTCTCCTGCCTGTACAGCCGCAACCACCAGGACCCGCTCGCCGTCGCCTACCACCTCATCATAGACAATCGCCGCATCATGAGCGAGGCCAAGGACTTCTACCTGGCCTCGAGCCCCCCCGACACCTTCCTGGAGGACCAGCACTTTGGCGTGGTCATAAAGCCTCACCCCGAGCGCGTGCCCTTCCTGTTGGCCGAGACGCCTCCGAGGCCGCGCCACACTCTGGACGAACTGAACCCGCAGAAGTCCAAGCACCAGGGCGTCCGCCGAGCCAAGTGGCACCTGGGGATCCGCAGCCAGAGCCGGCCCAACGACATCATGACTGAGGTGTGCCGCGCCATGAAGCAGCTGGACTACGAGTGGAAGGTGAGGGGCGAGGACAAATGACGGCGATGATAAAGAGAATATATGTAAGTGTTCATGAATATCCTTTTTTTTAGGTTGTGAATCCATTTTATTTACGTGTGAGAAGAAAGAATCCAGTCACTACGATGCAAACCAAGATGAGTTTACAACTTTACCAGGTGGACAGCAGAACCTACCTCCTCGACTTTCGTAGCATAGACGGTAAGAGAGAGTATTTGGTGTTTTCCCAGGTTATGTCTGTGATAAAAGATTATGACAACTTTAACTTTGTCGAAGATCTTTGTTCAAAGATTTAGTAGAAAACATTTCTTTTCTCCATTGATGTCACTGTTTTGCTTAGAAATATGTGACTAAACTTAATGTATATTTTTGGCACTAAAAACCCTTTTAATTACATAAAAGACAAGTTTATTTCATATTGTAGAGCTGAGCTTCCTAAATGCAGGTTAGAGGCCTCTGGCGCTGCAGGGCGGCTTCCAAACAACAAACATTTGAGAAATATTTAGCTCTTTATTACAACTTAAATAAGGTTAAAGTTGTAAATGATTTATATTTACATAGAGCTATTGACTCGACCTTGAGGCTTTTACAAAGAGGTGGTTTATTTTTATGAGCTGAACTTAAATGTGCATTCAAGTGTTTAAACAAAGCAAAGCCCCTCTGTGGACGATAATAAAGACAGACATAAAAGCAGTGCTTTTATTTTATTTAGTGTTTGGCTACAATGCTGTGTGCAGGCAGCAAAAAATTATAATGTAATTCATGCAATGAATGAACCGTATTCCAAAAACCAATATTTCTTCTGATTTTTCATTTCCGAAATACCTTATGCCCATCTTCCTGCAGATGACATGTTGGAAACAAAATCTGGAAGTGCTACCCCTCATCGGTCGGGCTCTGTGGGAAACTACCGCACCACGATTAAGACTGAGGACGGGGTGGAGGTGCCGGGCTCCTCCAGCCTGGTGTTCTCTCCTAAGCTAGCAGAGGGCTCGTTAGCATCATCACTGACTTCATCCATTGACTCTGCTGGAGCCGACAACGCCACGTTACCTCGACCCGGAAGCCACACTATAGAATTCTTCGAGATGTGCGCTAATCTTATCAAACTACTTGCACGATAGCTTGCAAAAAATCTATAGCCTTTCCTATTAGTGTCTTTACAGCAATAAGCATGCAACCAATTAACGGCTCGGCTCATCCCGGCCCAGCCCTGGATGAAGAGAGTCCCATGAAGCAGGTGGGAGTCCTTTTAGAGCTGACTGGAAACAGCGCTCACAGGAATGTAACAACATTCTGTCGAATGAACAAGCTTAACTTAAGCTCAGACAGATTTTTGCAACCAGTTTGCACCAATCCACAAACATACACTGTGTCTGTTGCTCTGTAGCCAGTGAGCACTGCTATCCAGAGCAACAGGACGCGTGGTCGGCTGAGGCGGGTTAACAACTGGTCTGGAATGAGGCGGTAGATTATATAGGATACAGAAAGCACTTTTGCACAAATGTCTTTTATTTCCTGCTGCTCTTGTTCATTTGTCTGGGGATCAGAGAAGTGGTGCAGTTTGTGTTGGGGTTCTGTGGAGGGAAGGCAGGATGTGGGACTCGCAGAGGTCTCCGTAATGTCATGTGTGTCAGGGACGAAAAAATGCTTCATCACTTTTCTTTGTTTTGTAAATTTGAGCTGTCATGCTAAAACTACATGATGTCCTGGTTGTAAATTGTCTGTCCCTTAAATTTTTATATATGAAGACATGGATATATTTATCAGTGTGTGCATTGGTTTAATTGGACAAAAATATATAATTTTTTTCTTACATTTATATCTATTGCTGGATAATGTGTATTATCCTTTTTTACTGTTTTTAATCAATATTTTGTTCAATCATTGTTTTTTTTGTCATACTTGATTGTGGAGACTGGTCTGTTTGAAGCATATAACATGTGTTGAAGTGGATTAAAGGCGTATTTTGTTGACTGTGCCAACAGAAACGGGCAGAAAGCCCCAAACGCCATAGATCAGCGAGATCTTTTCCCATTGCTTCTGTCACTGATGGCAAACCTTCTGTGGCTCATACTTTGGTTTGGGCTGAACCAGTTGATACTTTTTTTTCTATATTTTCAAATTGTCTTAAGTTGGAACATTTCCTTTACTCCATCTCCTTGTTGGATTATATCTGAATTATTGCATTGAATTTAAAGGAAAGGCATTGACTATTATATCTTGCTATATCGGCGAGATGGCCAACTTTAGCTCCAACGCAGCTGATGTTTAGTTAAATAATTTTATAATTGCACTCACAAAATTTGCCTTATATTGGCTCAAACTGATTCGTCATCTAAGCCAGAGGGTAGACTAAAGTTTTGGGGTGGGTGTAATTGGTTGCTCTTTGCCTTAGAAAGAACGGAATTAAAACTGCTCAGTCTTGCATTATCTACTGTGGGGCTGGACATTGACTCTTGACTAAAAATTGAAAAACATTTCAATGTAATCCATGTATTGCTTGTAGTTAACCATAAAAACAATGGAGCAGCCGGTGACGTTGATTATGAATGTCTCACATGTTAACAAAATGGTGTAAGCTGGCTTGATACTAATACTAATACTAAAGGGACCTTACATGATTGTCCAGTGTAAATTTTAAGCAGAAGTGTTGATAAAGTTTGTATTCACAATGCCTAATAAACTTATGAACAATACATCATCATTCAACATTGCAGGTTCTTTTATCCCAGTTACAAAATGATGGCAAATGGAATATTGCCATCATTATGAAACGGCAGTATGTATAACAAGCTGAAACATGTACTGTATCTGTATTGAAGAAAACGTTAAATATAGTCTGAAATTATACCATCTAAACAAAATGGGGTAAGCAGGTCTGAAGATATTCATTCATTTTCAAGCCCTTTATTGTCCATTTCTGGGTCAGGGGGGTGGCAATGAGAGCTGCCACCCAATGCTCATAGCACCAGTCCCTCGCTGATCCTCTTCAGGTGGTGAGTCCACAGGAAGATGGCTGCTCTGTCAGTGGTGAAACAGCCTTGGTCTTTCAGCGGGGGCTTCAGATATCTTTTTACATAATCAGCAGGCTCATTCTAATATTAAAACAACTATTAGATATATTGTGTGCCTTATAATGCTAGGGTGAGGATCTCAGTCATACGGGAGGAGCTCAGAATAGAGCCGCTGCTACTTCATGTTGAGTGGAGCCAGTTATGGGAGGTGTTCCGGGCACGTCCCTCCAGTCTATGAGGAGACCCTGGGGGAAACCTAGGACACAATTGAGGGACTCGGTCTCTCAGCTGGCCTGGGAACACCTTGGGACTCCTCTGGATGAGCTGGAGGAAGTGTGTGTGGAGAAGTCTGGTTGGACAGCTGCCTCTGGAACCTGGCAACGGATGACGCGAAAGAAAATGGAGGCAGTCATTTTTATTTGGCATTACATGTACTAGGTCCGTGTTTACATTTATGATATTTCTATTTATTTTTATAGTAAAATAAAAATTACCGTTTTCAGTATATAACCCAAAATCAAATCTATGGTACATAAAACCAGTGTGTGTGTGGGTGATGGATGTAGTACTGATCTACGAGTACTGTCCATAATAAATAAATGGTACTGTCCCTTTAAGAAATGTTGTAAACACGTCTACCACTTCCGGGCCAGAGTTTGAGCTAAACCAGCTAGCTTGCCATCATTTCAGCTCATAAAATATGTCGTATATTCAATAGTTTCATGCGTATCGTGCATAAAACTACAAATTTTCCGTGTTAAGTTACAGACTGCACCATATTCCATGTTTTTTTCTCAACATTGGCCACGGAAGCGTTGCTATCGACAAAAAAAAAAAACCTGCACACCATAGCCTGTAACCTCCTAGATTTAATAACTCATTCCACAGAGAATGGCGTCTTTCGGGTGGAAGAGAAAAGCTGGAGAGAAGGTGTCCAAAGCGGTGGTCCAGCAGTTTGAAGACGAGGCTGAGAAAGTGGAAGAAGGTGCTCAGAGAGAGGAGCAGGAGGAGGTGGACTGGCAGCAGGCGATCAAGAGGAGGAGAGAGCTGCTGGAGGAGGACTGCACCTCCAAGAGCCGCTGTCTGCAGGAGGAAGGGGCTTTACTGGCAGAGCAAGGCAGGTCAGTCATGGATCAGTCAGAAAAACAGTCTAGCGTACTTAGATTTATGTCAAACCTGCAGAAGACATTTTGTATTGTATCAGTTTGCAGACATTTTTCCCATATCTGCAAACTAGTTCAATAATTCAACACTCAAAAATAAGATTGAGGGTAAATGTCAGTGTGGCATTACCAAAATACAGAAAAGTAGGAATGAGGAGCACACAGCACAATACAAATGATCAATGACTGTATATTAAAATAAATACAATCTTTAGTTTTAGCATAATAAAAGCAAGTAAGGTGTTTTTATTCCTTAGAAGTGTTTTTTAATCTTAATTTTTTATTCTCCCTTTCTAACTGTTGCACCAAGCCAAAGCAATTTCCAAGTCTGTGACCTCCTGTTAAAAATGATTCTGATTCTGAGTATACATTGTCTAACTTTAGCATAATACCCAAGAAAGTATAAAATCTCTAACTTTAGCATAAAGTTAAAAAGCAAGTATAAAATCTCTAACTGAAGTGAAGGAGCAAGTATAAAATGCTGTATATTCAAATCTAGGAGGGCGACAGTAGCTCAGTTGGTAGAGCATTGGCCTTCAGGCCTGAAGGTTGTGGGTTCAATTCCCACCTCTACACCTTCTCCACCGACTCCCACTGATGACTGCTGTCGTTGTGTCCTTGGGCAAGACACTTAACCCCACTTTGCCCAAAAGCCCCACTGAAAGATCAAGGTTATGCTCACACTCAGAGAGCAGCCGTCCTCCTGTGGACTCACCACCTGCAGAGGGTCAGTGAGGGGCTGGTGCTATGAGACTTGGGTGGCATCTCTGATTGCCACCCCCCTGACCCAGAAATGGATTAAAGGGTAGAAAATGGATGGATGTCAAACCTGCACAAGACAATTTTCCATATCTGCACACTTTCAGAATGGGTTCGAATGCGCCAGAACGAGCAATATATACCCAAATGTTTTCACCGTCAAACTTTGTTGTGATTTAGAAAAAAGATTTGTCAACAATTTACATGTTTGCTCATTACGCTCGAGCAGAAAGCAACAATATTCCACTTAGTTATGACTAATAACAGATAATATTTTTTATAATAAGATAATAAGTTTATGAAGAAAACTGCTGTAGTTGACTGATAAAAGTATGTCATGTTATTCTTAGGAAATTCAAAAGTGCAGAAATAAGCAATTGTCACATTTTGAGAGGAACAGGATCTATGGTTCGTTTCTGAATGACTAAAAAGATCAGAAAAAAAAAGTAAGCGGTATTTTAATTTGCAGTTTAAAGTCATAATACACACGCACACGCGCACACACACACACACACACACACACACACACACACACACACACACATTCCACACAGATCAAGTCAGGCTCAGAACAAACATCAGAAGTTAAACCAGTCTTGCGGCGCTTTCAGCTCATAAGATCCACATAAATAAACAAAAGAAAATATGTGTTATGTTTTGTGCAGCTCTATTTCCATTTTAATATTAATATTTGCTGTGACACGTGTTTGCGCTGCAGGTTCATGGAACAAAGTGGAGAAAATGATTCACGAGGTTCTGTCCACACGGGGGCGCTAAAGAGCTTCCTTTTTACCAGTGTAAAACAAACATACGGCAGAACTTTGGAGAGGGATTTGATAATATTGTAATTTATTTCTTGGATTTATTTCAAGCTCAAAAACAGGAATCAATAAAAGAATTTACTGTAAAAGAATATACATGATGAAAGTTAAAACATTTTTGAATATTAATAATGTCTGGATTCATCTCTCTAAATTCATATTATCTTTTGAATATATTACACCATTGTATGCTTATTTTTTATTATTATTATGTTCAAGATAGACATTTTATACTTTTTTTATTTGTTTTATTAGTTTTTTTATTGCTAGAGTTAGAGATTTTGTTTTATTTTAATTAGTATATAGTTATTCACTTATTTTATAAAGGATCTCTCTTAATCTCTCTAAATCTGGAGTAGTACTGGGGGATAATTCTATACTGCATACATATTTTCAGTCACTCTAAATGTCCTGGACGCATATTTTTATGGCTAATGCATTTTCTCAGTGCATGTTCTTTGTCCCAGCGCTTCTCGTGAAGGTGTTTGTGGTTTCTCTGCTTTCGCCAAAAGCGGTGGAGGACGTCGTTGATGCAAAGTCAAACCAGCAAATTTTTTAGTGCGATGCTTTTGACCAATACAAGTCCATTACAATCATTCAGCTGTTCCCCATTTCCAGATATTCAGAGTCACGACCCTTCGTCATGGCTTGTAAAAGTGGATTTGTCTGAGGAAATGATGTTTGGCTGCTTCGTAAATGGCCGCTAAGGGGTTTGAGATGTGTCTGGTGAAAGATGTCAGAGTGGACTCCTCCCACGTGACCAGAACGACTGGTTTCAGGTCCGCTCTGTTCCACGTCCTTGTGAAGAAAGCCACATTTTTAAACCGCTTTTCTCATTTAGGTCATTCTAGTCTAGTCTAGTTTAGTCTTTGTTCAGCACAGTGCACAGCAGCATTCAGCTCACAGACAGATATGTCACACCAGATTATAGCTACACTGCAAAAAATGCTCAAATATCAGATAATAACTGCGTGAATCAAGTGTTTTTATCGTAATTTGAGCTTAATCTGGCTGTCTTTAAAACAATATTTGCCAACGTAATCATCCCACTTGTTCTTATTTCTTGAATTTTCTTGTATATTTTTTAAAACAAGACATTCCCTTTGGCAAATCTTGTTTTTAGACAGTCAAACTGTGTTCAAATTAAGATAAAAACTCTTGAATCACGCATTTATTACCTTTTTTATAATTTTTGTTTTTTTGCCGCGTACTCAGGAGGAACTAAGAGCGACTAAACACCAAATCAACTTTTTTTAACTCATAAACTGCATAAGTATGTTTATTGTAGTGCTGTCTACATATCCTGGTCATTTTTTTGACATTTTAGTTCAAATTAGATAAAATATCACTTTTGAGCCAAAAAACGCTGTGTGGTGCCCTCTCAACCTTTTTGGTGGTACTACATTTGAATTTGGTCCTGGCCTCTCCATTGACTCTGAAGTTCTCTATGACATCAGTTGTTTTGTGTGACGTCAGTCTGTCAGAGCCAGTGATGTGAACCCATTCAACTCTCACTCACGCCCCAGCTGCAGTTTGGAGTATTCTGGCGCCATCTAGTGGATTAAAATTAAATTACATGAGTCATTCTGAGATTATTGAGTGTGATTAGGTTCAGGTGTGTAGCTTTACAATTATCTTAGTGTGTTATCAAGGGTGGAATGAGACTTTCTGGTCTGTAAACTATTGCTTTAAGCAGCAATGACAACTGTCTGTTTTTTGTGTGTGTGACAAGTGAGCTGTCAATCACAGCCCAGACCACGCCCAACTCTAAGCCCCCCTTCTTGTCCCTTAGTCCTCCAGGCAACGCCCTTTTTAGAGAAAAATTTCAAATCTTCATGTGGGCGGAGTAAGGCTGGGCACAGGTGTTTAGTCGCTCTTTAAGGTTATACAAGAATCTGGGGTCCCCGGTGGTGGGTCTCGGACTACATAGCTCTAGCTCAGGTGTCTCCAACCTTTTTCACCCAGAGAGCTTCTTTCCCGGGACGATAAAGGCAGAGAGCTACTCCTTTAAGCGGCCCTGGGGAAAAAAATGTGTGATATATTGGTCTGATCAAGTCTGATATCGGGTACAGTCATTATTTATTGTCGCATAATTGTTTACTAGTGCTCAAAGTACGTGGATTTACAATAATAGAGAATTATAATGAATAATACAATCTGAAATATTAAGTATATTATTTGATTTATTCATTTCTAAATCTTTAGCCGAGCTACTTGGAAGGGGATGGCGAGCTACTGGTGGCTCCTAGCGGCATTTGGACATAGCTCTAGTCTTTGGTTCGAGCCTTGTCTCTCTCTTTTCTCTTTTCAAAACTGTCTTGTATTCTGTTCTGTAAAATTGTGTTGTGTCGGTTTTGAAAAATAAACAAGTTGACGGATTGATGGAGCGGCGTTAAAACCTCAGATAAGGAGGTGTTTGGCTCTGTATTGTACGTGCATTTATGTTTTGGTGGTTGCAGTGGCAGTTACACATTGCTTAACTTCCTTACTGTCTTTTTTATGTGGAAAAAGGATTGTGACACTGGGCAGTTCCTTTTCTGCTTCAAAACCCATTTTGAAAATCATTTACACAGACATTGCGAAACAAAGAGATGAAAAATAGTTATGGTTAAATTCTCACATGTCCCACTAATGTCATTGTTTTTGAACAGCAAATTTTAATTTTGTGGCCATACCTCAAAGCCAGACATCCTCCTGAAATTGTGCAGGGCAGGGCCTGGTTAGTAGACCTCTGGGAAGACCAGGTGCCACAGTGGGGCGGCTGTACAGTGCAAAACTGTGGTTGTGTCCTTAAGCAAGACACTTCAACCACATTGCCTAGAATGAGTCTGGTGGGTGTGTGAATGGCTGGTGGCAGTCACAGGGGCGGATGGCACAGACTGGTTGCCTTACTTCTGTCAGTGTGCCCCAAGGCAGCTGTGGCTAAAGTAGTAGTTCATCACCACTGTGTTTGGAGGAAAAGCGTTGCATTAAAACGTTATAATTTATGACCAAATTATTGAGTAATGTTCCATGTCTTGGGGCCAAATGTCTTAAGGTAATTTCAGTTTAAATGTGAAACTATCTGCAAATATATCTGAGCCAAACAGACAGGACACGCCAGGAGTAGACAAAACAGCTATTTATTACCATTTATCCGAAATATAATCCAATAACTATAAACTTGAATCATCAACTTTGTTTTTCAGACATTGGGAGGCCATCAAGAAGTGGGACGAAGCCATCCAGCTCACACCGGAAAACCCTTCATTGTACGACATGAAGTCACAGGTCAATATCCGTCATTACATTTGCTTTAAGAATAAATACTCTTAAAGGGACAGTATACAGGAGGATTTTCTACTTCCGGGTGGATCATGAAGACTATTGGTCCTCCTAACTGTCAATCATTCTGGTGATACGTGCTCGTCAAAAAAGACCAAGGAGTTGTTTAAAAGTGGAGAGGGCGGTTCTTTTCTAACATTTTGGAAAATCCTCCCATATACTGTACGTTTAAGTATTTATACAGCGCCTTTCACAGACCAGTCACAAAGCACTGGAATCGAAGCCAGGACTTTCTCACTGTGAAGTAAAAGATTTATTCTAATCGTGCGCTGGTTTGTCGCTCCATAAACTTTAGTCCTTTTTCATTGGAATGTTCCTTCTTCTGTGATCTCAGTTTGGTTTTATCTAAAGTGGCTCAGATCAATCGACCGCTGATAATGATCTCACGGCAAAAATCTTGTCAGCGGTGACCGGAACAATGAGACCAGATGACCAGACCAGATGACCTCACATTCACAGTTTTTAAATATTAACAATATTAGTTGTAAGTAACAGGAAGTCACAAATTAGGATTTCTTTGTACAGAAAGATCATTATAAAGGTTAAGAAATAGATTTATAGGCATGCATACACAAATGTCATCTTATTCTTATATATGAATACACACATTAGACATTTAACACACACACACACACACATACATACACACATTTCTAGCTAACTAATAAATGCCCAGAGGTGTTGTGTATATATATATATATATATATATATATATAGTCTATGATGTTTTGTTCATGTGTTTCCACTTCCAGAGCAGTGTCATTCTGTCCCTTTAGGATAAGAGGCAAGTTTATTTTTACTCCACAGGTCACACACAGGACAACCCAAAGTGCTTAACACAAAACAAGATAAACAATCACACAAGGCATTCAAATCATATAAGTGTTTTTTAATCAGGATTTGGAAGAGAAGCGAGCAGAGAAATCACATATTTCAGTGTGGCACAAAAATAAACAGCTTTATCAAATATTTACGGTTAGAAAATCTTGCCGATGGTTAAAACTAGAATTGCACGTCGTTTAGAGAATCCCATGAACCAATCAGAAAAGCCTGGTTTGTCTCTAACTCCGGATATTTATAGACACATTTTTATTCCCCTCTTCTGAGAGCGTCTTTGCTAATGGCACCGTGCTTATCTGCGCCACTTTAGATTCACATTTAGCTTCTTCCACAGGCTCCGAGAAGTCAATTTTAGACGTTTGGCAGACACATGTATTCACAAATTAGTATTACTACACAATACAACGGCAGAAATGACAGTGGTCGTATTACAAACAGAATTGTAAGCCTAACACGATAAAGGTCCATTAGGGGACATTGGAGAAGGAAGCCATTAGAAAGTCCTAGTGTTGATTCATTCCCTCTCCTCTCTAATGTCCGCCATAGTCAATATTATTATTATATTATTGTTTTATTAGTATCGGATACAAGTACAGATGGCCGGCCGCTCAGTGTCCCTCCTCGCTTGAACTGCATGAGTTATACGCGTAACAAAATCACTTCTTTTTCTTTCGGTTTCAGTCGTTTCCGCCTCACGCTGTTGTTTTGTATTCGACATGCGACATCACCACATCCTGCCCTGAGTTTGTGAGTCTGAGTTCTCTCTGACCCTGTGACTTTACCTCAAACAGCAAAACGCCAGACTGGAGAGATCTGGTTTTAGATTCACCTAGACCTCAGAACCTCAACAAAGCAGCAGATTCAAGATAAAGGCGTGCAATTATCAGACAATGTTATTATTATTATTATAACTAACGTACATTTTGGACGATAAGCCGCAGCTTTTTTCCCACACTTTGACTCCTGCGGCTTCATTATTTATTTTCATTTTTTTCACAGAGCTCTACTTAAATTGTATGACATGTAACTCAGTCATTTTCACTCACCCTCGTCAAGATGGAAAATACTAGAAGAAAAGCACATGATAATTTTGTGTTTTGTAAAGGTCACAGGCGCCTTTAGAAAAATAGCATTTGTAATATGTATTTGTTTGTGACCAAGAGGATTAAATATAGTTTAAAAGTTCCCATCTATGATATCTGTAAATATCTCATTTAATACAATGCTTTTTGGTTCTCTGTACAGACATGAAAATGGAAAGAAACCGGTTGATGGTGCTTTCTGAATGGTCAAAATTAAGTATTCAATCAAATATCTATGGTGTTCGGAGAGGCTGATGGCACAGACTGGTTGCCTTGTTTCTGTCAATGTGCCCCAGGGCATCTGTGGCTACGGTAGTATCTGCTCCGTCTATGGAGTGAATGAATAATGACATGTGAAGCGTCTTTAAGAGTCCCAAAAAAAAGCTCTACATGTTATTAACATTATTCATATCATTATTTTTTATTTTTTCTAAACATACATTTTTACAGCAGGCAATATAAAAAGAACAATGCATGATGTGTACGTGACTATGAACTATGTTAAAGTTTCATCAAGTCCATTCAGAAAATCGGAATCAATCCATCCATTTGGAAGCAGTGTTATGAATCCTGAAATAATCTTTTCCTTAATTACAGGTTTTAACCATTCTGCACGAGGTGTTCCCGGCGGTGAAGGCTGCGGAGATGGCCGTGAAGCTCCGCCCTCTTTGGTGGGAGGCGTGGCAGACGTTGGGTCGGGCACAACTCAACCTGGGAGAAGTGGATCTGGTAATGGACCTCTGTTGGAAAAGTGCAATTCATTTAATTTAATATTTTTTTGGTATACCCCTAAATCTTCTTTACAAGTTTACAATTGTCGATTTGCCATCAACGGATCAGAGAATCAAATAGTTACAATGCAGGAAAAAGGTTGGTCCATTGGGAACTTGTTAATAAATGTCTCACAACCCCAGGAAGACCGTTCCAAACCCTAGCTGCATAAATCTGAAATGCAGCGTTTATCGTTCTGACTCTTGGCACCAGCAGGAGGCCAGTCCCTGTGCTCCTTACAGCTAATTTCCACAGTAAGTGATGACTGCTCGCATATCTGCGTAACATTACTCGGCTGTATGTCCACTGGCCGTGCGCGCAGGTCCGCGGCTTTTGAAGCTGTCTCTGTGTAGTCTATGGAGAAGTGTAGAGGACAGTACGGGCCAGAGGACTGATGTAGAGCAACACAAATCACATGTCTGTGTTTGTCTTCATAGTCTCTGTGCGCTGGTTTGGGCAGACGCAAGACTTTATGAATGAAAAAAAAAACAATGTCCAGAATCACATTAAATACCTGCCGCTCCTGCATGCATGCGTGCATGTGTGTGTGTGGATGCGATCTAAAGCCAAGGGCCGCTAGAATCATGTTTTCTATATGTTTTGACTGGGAGATGTGTTGCTGCGCACACAAAATTAGAAATCCATCCTAAATTAGGTGCAGCCTCGCCTCATACGTCCGTCCTACGCGCGTATAACACTAGTAGTGTAAATATCCCCATAGGTTAAAATGTTACCAGCATCTGCTGCTCGTATAACGCTTACGTGCTATAACGCCTCCTGTGTAAATTAGCAGTCAGAGTCTAAGTTGGTTCATATGGGACTAACATGTCACTAATATATTTTGGTGCGAGGCCATGGAGAGACTTGTACACAAGCAGAGCTGTTTTAAAGTCTATTCTCTGAGCCACAGGAAGCCAGTGCAGAGACCTGAGGGCAGGACTAATATGGTCGTACTTCCTGGTTCTACTCAGAACTCGAGCTGCAGGGTTTTGAATGCACTGCAGCTGTTTTATTGCTCCTTTAGAGAAACCAGTGAGCAGGCCGTTGCAGTCGTCGAGCCTACTGGAGACAAATGCATGGATAAGGATCTCTAAGTCTGCTTTAGGCTCTTGATAACGTCCATAAATGTTGTTGAATGTGGAGTTTATATTTACTGCTGTGAGTTTATACTTCTTGCTGTGGCAGAACGGGGCCCAGGCTTCCAGTGGTTGAGTAAAATTGCCAAATAACACGTCTAGACCTGTGATTGAATGAATACTTCAATCATAGTTGCTCAACCTGTCTTAAACCAACAATCCTTACCTCAAAAATCCCTGAACCATCGGCGGCGCGGAGAAGTCTTTCGTCTCCCGCGGTCCACCTGTCTAATATCAACAATAGGGACTGTTGAAAGTTGATATAGACACGCCTCTCGGTATCATGAAGCTATTCTCGAAAGATGAAAAAATGCTCTCCTATTAATAGCCAGACTTGTTCGGTCGTGCCCAGGAGCTCCGTGCGCACCACATCTTTCTACAAACGGTGGAGAAAGGTCTTTTTAACAAGCCGTTTTTATGTGAATCTTTCTAGAATTTAAGGGAAAGCACCCAATGAAATTCTTAATTGACTAAAACAAATTTTCCAAGTCAAACAAAATGGATAGAATGGATTTAAAGTCGAATCTTCCGGTTTGTTAGTGCGTAAAACTCTTATTATCTTTGGTGTGTGTGTGTGTTTTCAGATAATCCAGTTTATGATTTGTTAAAAAACTAATTTGGACAATTGAGATTTGAGGGAAAACCTGAAATATATATTTTAATGACAAAACAATTGTCAAGTCCCTCTGCGCTAAAGGATCATGCCTTATTTAGACCATTATTATCCTTTTTTACATTTTTTGTGATCTTTCGAAGCCTTTTTGAGACATTGCAATTAAGATATACAAGTGTTTGCAGTTGTAAAGAAGATAATGCGTTATATTTTTACCACTGTTTTATTTTGTGTCCCTCCTTTCCGACGCAGGAGGGTCTTATGGCAGTGAAGATCCGGTACATTTATCAACATTTATTAACATTATTGACCCTGGTCATCCTGCTCCCTGTGGACCAAGAACTCTTATGTGGTTGTTATTATTGCATTTCCTGCGTCTGGTTGATTCTCTGTTATTGGCGAATCAACAACTTTGTAAAGTCCCCCGAGATGACTGCTGTTGTGATTTAGGGCTGTCAAAAAATATTTAATTCAATGAAATAAGTGCAGTCTTTGCTAATTTGCTAATTGCAGCCACTGGTTTATTGTGCGCAGCCCTGGAGTCTATGAAACCTACTGCATCAAAACTACTGTTGTGATTGAGGGCAATACAAAAAAAACATTTAACAGTCTTCCTGAAAATGTGAGACAGGCTTTTTATCTGACAATGTTCAAATCCAGGTAAAAATAGTTCTGTTTTACACTTTGAGTTGTCTTGTGAATTGTGCAATACCAGGCAACCTCAGGCTCATGGGCCAAATTAAGCCTGCAAGACAATTTTAAGTGGCCCCTAATATGATTTTCCATTATAATTATTAATTGCAGTATTGATGGTTATGGCTACCATGGCATGTTATACATCATCTTTTTTTTTCAGGAAAGCAACAACATTTAATATAAACTAAAATTTGAACCCAACAAATCATTAGAAGTTAAATAGACGGCACTTGTTTTTGTCAGATATTCTGTGTCCTGGGCATATGTTGTGATCCCAGTGTACTTTGAGTCCTGTGTCCCCTGGAGTCCTTTGTGTCCTGATTTTATAAAGTTAAATCCATGTGTTTAACCAGTTTTGGTTCAATCCAAACACTAAACACATTTTGTTTTCAGATATATCACCCAGAAAATAACAGTAGAAGTAGTTTCAGAAAAGGAAAATCCCTTCAATACTTTCAGTTCCTATTTTTGTATGATCAAAATTAGTTCGACAGCCCTGCGCTATATTAATAAACTCGCCTTTCCTTGCCTTGAAGTGAATCAATCCTTCCTGCTGCGGTCAGACTGTACAATGAGACCAGTTGAGCCTTAACATGTCATTCATCTGTAAATAAGATAATACTTTAATCATGTACGATACTGCAACTTCAGAAAGTGACTTTATCTCCTCATTACCCTGCCCCATATGTTCAGTACAGTATGTAGGACGACAGTGGCTCAGATGGTAGAGCATTGACTTTGAGCCTGAAGGTAGTTGGTTCAAACCTACCGCGAGACCTTCTCCACTGATGTCTGCTGTCATTGTGTGTGTCCTTGGGCAAGACACTCAAAACTGACATTTCCCCACTGTGGGACCTTCTTCTATAACTTTTACACTTTTTATATAGAAATATTTTTGAGAGACTGATATTGAGCATTTTCAGCTAGAAGAAGGTCCTTAATTCGTCCCACAATGGGGAAATTTCAGTTTTCTTCTAATCTTCATACACATATACATATACACATCAAGGCAAGCAGCGAACATCACTTCCGCGCTTCTTATAGGCAAAGTGGGTTAAGTGTCTTGCCCAAGTACACAACGGCAGCAGACATCAGTGGGAGTCAGTGGAGAAGGTCTCGTGGTGAGCTCGAACTCACAACCTTTGGGCTCAAAGGCCAATGCTCTACCAACTGAGCCACTGTCGCCCTAGCTAAGAAACATGGCAGCTATTTAAACTGAATATTGTGTGTGCTCTCACTACTGTCCTGTTTGTGCGCTGCAACATTGAAATTTCCCCACTGTGGCACAAATAACGAATCTCTTATTTTATCTTATAACCGTGATCTGTTGAATTGAACTTCCAGGCGGTCAAGTCCTTCCAGATCGCCATCCACCTGTGCCCGTCCGAGTCCTCGCTGTGGCTGGAGGACCTGCAGTGGGCCTGTCGTCTCCAGCAGCAGCACACGGCCACCAAGGAGAGGAGCCAGATGGAGGAGGAGACCAGGAGGCAGGTTTTGGACGCGCCCGAGCTGCAGCAGGACTTTGATTTCGAGTCTGAGGAGGTGGTGGCGGCGTGCGAGGCCGTGGCCCAGAGACAGAGCCGCTACGAGGCCATGCGGAGGAGCGCGCTGGTGGTGGACGCACAGGGGAACATCCAGAAGGTTCCGGCCGCAGAGGGAGGAAGAGGAGGAGGAGGAGGAGAAGAAGGGGAGGAGACTGAGGCGCTGCCGAAGGAACTGTTTGTGAAGGCGAGAGGACTGTGAGGTGCGAGACCAGAATGAAAAACACACGTCACTGTAAATGAGTCGGGGAGGACTGAGGTGTTGTTTTGTAAATAATAATAAAATATGTTCAAATGTGATTCAGTTCAAAACTTTTTAGTTTAGAGTGATTCGGCCTGTGTTTGTGTGTGTGTCTCTCTCTTGCTCTGTGTGTGTTTGTCTTGCTTTGTGTATGTGTGTGTGTGTGTCTCTCCCCCTCTCTCTCTCTCGCTCTGTGTCTCTCTGTCTTTCTCTCTCTCTCTGTGTCTTTCTCTCTCTCTCTGTGTCTTTCTCTCTCTCTCTCTCTGTGTTCCTATTTCTGTCTGTCTTTCTCTCTGTGTGTGTCTCTCCCTCTGTCTGTTTCTCTCTCTCTATCTCTGTGTCTCTCACTCTCTGTGTCTGTCTTTCTCCCTCTCTCTGTGTGTCTCTCTCTCTGCATTTCTCTCTGTGTGTGTGTCTCTGTCTATCTCTGTCTCTCTCTCTGTCTCTCTCTCTCTGTGTGTCTCTCCCTCTCTCTCTTTGTCTGTTTCTCTTTCTCTCTGTGTGTCTCTCTCTCTGTCTCTCTCCCTCTCCCCCTGTGTGTATTCTTTTGAAGTGTGTGAACGAGGGCGATCAAATCAAACGTCTGTTTTCTGCTCTATGAGAGACTTAATTTTGAAATAAACACTTACTACTTAGATAAATTGGCGAATTGTGTTTTTTCCACAGAAAGTCAACTCCGAAATATCACATCACATCACATATACATTCTTCTGCTTTTTAGAAAAGGCCATGACAGCATCACTACAGGAAAAGTAATCATAATGGGAGTGAAATACCAAGGGATTTATGAGGGGTGGGATTAGATAATGAACAACTCCTAGATGTTATGAATCTCAAACTGATTAATTGTAAATAAATATACTTTCCACTTCCAGATCTCAGAGTTCAATCAGAGGAACATGAAGTCGGTTTGCTTAACTGAGCGTTCAGTCGTGAGCCAGTTTTATTGTCATAATTCACATATTTTTACTCCGAAACAAACACAAACAACCTCGCAGCTTCTAAACGTCGCTGTGTTCCCCTGACCTTAAAATTGTACATCGTCAATCATTTATTTCTAAGGGGAATTCAGAGCAGAAAGAAAAGAACAGTCTTGTGATTCTCTAAAACAAGATGCACTTGACAATGAATGAATGAATGCACTTTGTTTACACACTTTTCATGAACCTTTTGTACATATTTTGGTAAAGCTCGACACTTTCAAGTCGCTCCCAAAAGGATTCAGGAATTAGACAAATGATTCTAAATGATTACATTTGGAGTCATTGCATATATACATGAACGATACATGTTTTCATTGAGCTCTAACAGTGTTAGACAGTGTTATGGTCTAATTTACTCTATAAAATGTCCATGATTTTGCAGTTATTACAGTTTTATTATGAATGCAAAAATCATAGAAGTTCTCTATTGGCAACCCCTGTTTAGTATGTATTACTTTACAATTTAGTGTGTGATAAATGAAATTGTAATTTTTGTCTAATAATGAATGGTAAAATCTACTTTTATTTGACTGTTTTAAAACAAACAACCTGCTCTGGGACTACAGGTGTAAATTAGCACTGCTGCTAAAACCTGGTACAATGCATCTCTCCTTTAGGCTCATGTTTATTGTACACTGTCCATATAGAAATGAAAACCATACTATAAAGATTGTACCACATTAGAATTGAGATTTGAAAACTTAAATCTCGGTACAAACTGTCTATTCACATTGCATTATGAGACCATTGAAATAACTAGTAAATAATAGAGGTGCAACGGTTCATCACTGATCCGTGATCCGTTCGGTTCAACGTCTTCGGTTCGGTACAGACGTGATCCGCGGTTTGATTTATGAAAAAAAAGTTGTGCGCACGTTGTTCAGTCCACACACAGCGCGGTCATTGCGAGCGGAGGAACGGAGATGCTTGAAAGCCCTGCGTCATTTAAATCCCCAGTATGAGAGCATTTTGGCTTCACTGTAACTACACTGATAATTAATATTCGACAAAACTGTCACGATGTGTAAGCACTGTGGACCAAGAAAGACATGAGTGAAAAAAGCGTCTCAATGACCGCTTATTGTCGCGGCATTTAAGCAGCTCCTTTACGCACAGTCAGACCGGGCTAAAGTCCACTCTCCCGCGCATCCTCAGCTGCGCTCACGACTGACGCGTGGACGTCCCGCGGAACCTATAATAGATCCATGAGCGGAACCGCTCACTTCATCACCGCAGACTGGGAGATGAGAAGTCTGGCGCTGCAGACACGCCCCCTCTACGACAGTCACACAGTCACACAGCGCAGGTTCTGACACAGCAGCGGAGGAATGGAAGACAAAGGCCCAGTACTAATATCCCAGTCACAACTGATAATGCCAAAAATTAAATAAATGCAGTGAATGAGGCTGGGCCCAGAATGGACCCCCTCCTTGGGAGAATCAGGAAGGTGGTGTAATATATGAGGGTAAATATCCTCATAAAGTGCCTTCTTATGTTGCACCTTGTGTTGTTTTTCATTAATTATGTTAAATAGACATAATTGGATGGATGGAATATGCCTTCCATCCATCCATCCATTTCCTTCCCCTTAATTCATTTCTAGGTCAGGGGGGGCAGTCAGAGCAGGTGCCGAGTCCACATGAGCTGTGTTTATTAAAAAGACAAAACTTTTTTTTAGAAAAATGAACCGAAAAATGAACCGAACCGTGGCCTCTGAACCGAGGTACGAACCGAACCGTGATTTTTTCAAACCGTTGCACCCCTAGTAAATAACTAAATAGTAGCTACTAAACCAATCTTTACCACCAGGAAAAATGGCTTATTTCCTTAAAGATCTTCTCACTGAGAAGAAACACTGTTTTATTTTAAAACACATACGACACATAACGGTGCATTCAGCAGTATTCTGTTTTGTAAGCACCATCGGCCGCTCTGATGCCTTCAGCTCCTCACAGTCCTCCAGTATCTGCTCATGGAAGAGTTCTAGATGCATTTTTCCTGGATGTCGCTGGATTCTTTGGTAAAGCTGACGAGGAGCGAGGGGTCGACAGGAAGGACCTTTATGTGTTTAGTGTCCTGGGTGTCAAGAGTGTCTTTTTGGGTATGTTTTGCATCCTGTGTGTCCTCTGTGTACTTGGTGTCCTGGGTATACTTTGAGTCCTGTGTCTCCTGGGAGTCCTTTATATCCTGTCTCTTCTGTGTCTCCTGTGTGTCCTGGGTATATTTCTTATCCTGGGTATAGTGGGTGTCTTGAGTATACTGTTTTCCCTGGATATACTTTGAGTCCTGTGTCTCCGGTGTGTCCCTGGTCTCCTGTTCGTCCTGTCTATCCTCATGTGAAGTCCTCTCCAGCGTCTCTCTCTCGTCCCCCGCTGCAGACCCCACCGACCCCACCGCCTGCAGACAGATCTGAGAGCTGCTGTCGAACTCCCTCAGGTCTCTGGTCACGAGAGACGGCGAGTCCCGAGAGACGATGGAGGAAGAGAGGTGTCCATCTGTGCAGCGGAACGGTCTGCCGCCTCTGCGCCCGCCCATCTTACAGAACAGGCACTTGATCTTCTCCATCAATTTGAGCACCACGGTCTTCCTCAGCAGGATGTAGACCCAGGGGTCCAGGATGGGGTTGATGGACGCTATGCGCACAGCCAGGAGGTCAAAGGGCGGGTTCTCTTTCTGGTGGATCTGGTTCACAAAGATCCGTAGCTATAGAAATACAAAAATACAACAAGTATTAGGTTAAATTAAATAAACATGTATTCGTCCCACAGTGGGGAAGAAAAGACATACTTTATTTACTCACAATGGAGAAATCACACAGGAGCTATTATTTAAGATGATTTTATTTTTATTTATTTAAAAAAGGATAGCCCTTTGAGATGCAGCATCTCATTTGCGAGGGGGTCCCACAGTACAAACAGAGATAAGAGAATACAGTACAAAACCAGAAAAATACATATTAAAAAGGACAAACAAAACACACACACATACAGTGCCTTGCGAAAGTATTCGGCCCCCTTGAACGTTTCAACATTTCGCCATATTTCAGGCTTCAAACATAAAGATATAACATTTTAATTTTTTTTCATGAATCAACAAGTGGGACACAATCGTGAAGTGGAATGAAATTTGTTGGATAATTTAAACTTTTTTAACAAATAAAAAACTGAAAAGTGGGGAGTGCAATATTATTCGGCCCCTTTACTTTCAGTGCAGCAAACTCAGTCCAGAAGTTCAGTGAGGATCTTTGAATGATCCAATGTTGTCCTAAATGACTGATGATGATAAATAGAATGCACCTGTGTGTAATCAAGTCTCCGTATAAATGCACCTGCTCTTTGATAGTCTCAGGGTTCTGTTTAAAGCGCAGAGAGAACCATGAAGACAAAGGAACACACCAGGCAGGTCCGAGATACTGTTGTGGACAAGTTTAAAGCCGGATTTGGATACAAAAAGATTTCCCAAGCTTTAAACATCTCAAGGAGCACTGTGCAAGCAATTATATTGAAATGGAAGAAGTATCAGACCACTGCAAATCTACCAAGACCCGGCCGTCCCTCCAAACTTTCATCTCAAACAAGGAGAAAACTGATCAGAGATGCAGCCAAGAGGCCCATGATCACTCTGGATGAACTGCAGATAACTACAGCTGAGGCGAGGATGGTGTGTTCAGGGTGATGAGCTGTGTTGCTTTTACGCCAAACATATCGTTTTGCATTGTGGCCAAAAAGTTTGATTTTGGTTTCATCTGCCCAGAGCACCTTCTTCCACATGTTTGGTGTGTCTCCCAGGTGGCTTGTGGCAAACATTAAGAGACTTTTATTGGATATCTTTGAGAAATGGCCACTCTTCCATAAAGGCCAGATTTGTGCAGTGCACGACTGATTGTTGTCCTATGGACAGACTCTCCCACCTCAGCTGTAGTTATCTGCAGTTCATCCAGAGTGATCATGGGCCTCTTGGCTGCATCTCTGATCAGTCTTCTCCTTGTTTGAGATGAAAGTTTGGAGGGACGGCCGGGTCTTGGTAGATTTGCAGTGGTCTGATACTCCTTCCATTTCAATATAATTGCTTGCACAGTGCTCCTTGAGATGTTTAAAGCTTGGGAAATCTTTTTGTATCCAAATCCGGCTTTAAACTTCTCCACAACAGTATCTCGGACCTGCCTGGTGTGTTCCTTTGTCTTCATGGTTCTCTCTGCGCTTTAAACAGAACCCTGAGACTATCAAAGAGCAGGTGCATTTATACGGAGACTTGATTACACACAGGTGCATTCTATGTATCATCATCAGTCATTTAGGACAACATTGGATCATTCAAAGATCCTCACTGAACTTCTGGAGTGAGTTTGCTGCACTGAAAGTAAAGGGGCCGAATAATATTGCACGCCCCACTTTTCCGTTTTTTATTTGTTAAAAAAGTTTAAATTATCCAATAAATTTCGTTCCACTTCACGATTGTGTCCCACTTGTTGTTGATTCATGACAAAAAATTAAGATTTTATATCTTTATGTTTGAAGACAATGTGAAATGTGGCGAAATGTTGAAAGGTTCAAGCGGGCCGAATACTTTCGCAAGGCACTGTACACCTATTATTTTTGAATGTTTTCCTCCGGGTTTAGTATCCCAAACTGTATACGGGACACCATGAAATCATAACACCCATTTTTCGAAGATATATTTGTTATTTCATGTATGATCAAAAACAAGAACAGATCATTTGAAAGTGTTCAAAAACTGCCAATTTAAATAAGAAAATCGATCTAATTGATCGAATTGAACAAGGCAGACTATTCCAATCATGTGGTGCTTTAAATTTGAATGAACTGCGGCCAATTTCCTTATTAATTACAGAAACCTGAAAAAATATTTGATCATTATGACGTAAGTTATAAGAGGATTGAGATGGAGTTAAAAATTGTTTTAGGTATGATGAGAAACCCAAGTGATGACATTTGAACACAAATGTAGAGTAATGTCATTTCCTTCTTTCTGATAGACACATTTGACAATGATGTGTCATGTATGGACATCTTAAAACAAACCTACAAATACTATTGTAAACAACATCTAAGGAATCGAGAGAAGTTACAGAGGCGCTCTGATAGATTATATCTGCATAATCTAACAGAGGAAGCAATAACTGTGTAGCTAGTCTTTTCCTGACTGCAAAGGTAAAACAATTAATACACTGATATAAGGTTCGCAGGCGGTTAGAGACATTCTTGACAATGGTTTTGATATGTGATTTAAAAGTTAGTTGGCAATCTAAAACAAGTCCCAAGTATTTAAATTCATCCACTTTTACCATCAAAGTTTCATCAGCAAAGTCTATATGAAAAGTATTGTCATTTATGTTATTTCTGTGATTAAATAACATGTAATACGACTTAACACAAGTTTGTTTTCAGTGAGCCATTTTTGAATCAGATTGAAATCGGACTGTAACGATCTTTGAATTTGTGTAATATTCTTAGAGGATGAGTAAATTACAGTATCATCGGCGTATAAATGTATTTGTGATTTTTAGCAACATTTTGGTAAGTCGTTGATGAACACAGAAAACAGCAATTATATGATAGATAATACAATAGTAAAATGATAAGATAATCAAATCAAACTCTGGAGCTATAATCGTATTCCTATCAAGAATAAGTAACTTGCTGAATATACACTGTAGTAAGCAGTAGTTATGAAGTATTTACAGGTGTTTGGTTTTGTACTTTAGCAGCAGAGAGAATGACCAGATTAAACAATAGTAATCGTAACAATATCAGCCGGAAAAGTGACTCAAATTATGAAGGTACAAATGAACACAAATAACCTTCCTGCAACATTACAACATTTCAGCCGTAGATGAAGACACCAATGAATATAAATATAGAAAGGCTGGTTCTCTAAAGTGCAGAACTGTGTGTCATTGAGGGTGTGTCCCACAATATGGCATTATGTTCATGCAGGTGGATGATTGCACGAGGCCAAATCGGTCAGGCCAGGTCGATTCTGTGTGTGCAGGTTTCAAAGTGTTAAAAACATAAACATTTTCCTTTTAAGTTCAGTTATTTTTACTGAAATGATTTATATTTGTTCAAAGCCACAATGTTGATACATAATTATTCTATATTATTTCTGTCTAATTCTACAACGTGAGAAGTTTAATTCCATTTAAGACAAAGAAAGGCAAATGTATGTGTTTTAGATCCATGGTCTTTTTCTACATTTAATGTAACCTCCTGATCCACTGTAAACATCACGCCCCACTAAAGTATGTCACTGTGTAAATAACAGATGGAGGTGAGCAGGTGGCAGCAGCAAGTGCCAACTGTCATTCACATAAACGTCTCTGAAACATTCCGTTTCATGGACAGTATTTGTTTGTTATTGATCATTGGCACTCACCAGCAGAGGGATGGAGCAGATCAGGACCACGGCAGATGTGGCGATGAGGAGGATGACCATCTGGATCTCTGCTCCGGCCAAACGGCGGAAGCTCCGGCTGGACCGCCGCTCCACCGCCCGCCGCGGGTCTGAGCCCAGAGACGTGCGTCTGATGTAGCGCTTGTGCATCACCATGAGCGCGCCGCAAACCAGGACGTTACAGCTCACGGTGAGGAGCACCAGGGCAGAGTTCAGACCCGCGTACGCCAGGTTGTACGCGGCGGTGGAGCTGTGGTTACTGTGCCAGTCTAGGAAGCACCACGTCCCCGGGCTCTGATGCTTGACCTGCCCCAGCCCCAGACTGGGCATGGCGCACACCAGCGCACTGAAGGCGTAGGTGGCGACCAGAGTGACCGCGGCCACCTTCTGGTTCACGTACTGGTTGTAGTACAGCGCATGGTTGATGGCCAGGTACCTCTCCACAGACATGGCCAGCACGATACTGAGCTGCACCAAGAAGAAGAAGAGCAGGATAAATGCGTAATACTGGCACAGGGCCTGGTCCCCGGGCCATGCGCCCTTCACGTAGGTGGCGATGGTCACGGGGCTCACCAGCAGCGTCCCCAGCAGGTCCGTGACCGCCAGCCCGCACACCAGCGCGTAGAAAGTCGTCTCTTTCTGCTCTTTGCGGGAAATACGCAGCACGACGATGGCGATAACGTTTCCCACGACCCCGAAGATGAACATGATGGAGGGGACGGTCGGCGGCAGGAACCTGCTCGGTGCTTCTGTGGGCGGCATAGTTGTAGTTTCTCCAAAGTTTGAAACGTAACTTTTTCTGAGTCACGCAGTCTCTCTCATGTTGCTTCACGCACAGGGAGCTGCTGCTTCACGCACGGAGCCAACACCGCGGTCCATCCACAGAGAAGTGTTGGTTTTGGGCAGAGGCTCCTGACGCGCTCTTGCTGTGACTTCTGTGACAGTGTTCCTGGTCTGAGCCTCCTCCTCTGCTGCTGTGCGCTCTGTCACTGCTGCACATGGAGGAGTTCCCACACTCTGAGCACTCTGAGCATGTTCTGTCTGCACAAACCTGACAATCTCTGTTTATTTATGCACTCCAAATATATTTGAAATCAACGCCTGCATAAAGTCTGTTTGGCCACAAAACAAAATGAATCCAATGCAATGTTGAAATTGCTATTTGATTTAATTATTTAAAACATCTATTACTTGTAGTTAGATTGAGCACCATGTCCTAAATATAAACGTTGTCTAATTTTCCTGAATTAAAGATCCCAAAGAGTGATAATTATTGATTATTAATGTATTGATTGCTCCTTGAATGTTCTCATATAGGATTCACTTGTTTCACACGAACTACACTCTGCTGCTTCACTTACAGTAACTAACTTGTCCTTTATAAAACATTCATCGGAAACTTGTTCATGACCCGAAAATGCCACAGTGACTCAAGACAAAATCAAGATAAGATCTCTATGTGTGTGTGTGTGTGTGTGTGTGTGTGTGTGTGTGTGTGTGCGTGTGCGTGTGCGTGCGTGTGTGTGTGTGTTGCGTGTTGTATGTGTGTGTGGTCTCATGCTTTCGTTAACAGTGCGTATGGTCCCCACACGCCGGGGACACATTTTATGACTCAGTGGGGACACTTAGCAGGAAATTTCAATGGCCTCTTCTCAATATGCCATGGAGAGCAGCTTCAGTGACAGCCTAACCCACCCCAGTAAAGGTCTCTCCCCCTGCTGCTGTCTGTACTTCCTGGTCCCGGTCGCTCGGTGTGTCTGTGTTCAGGTGTATTCCATGTAGCAGTGGCGCTGATGGTTCTGGATCTATACTTGCAGCTGTTCCTGGTTCTCGTTGGTTCCTACTGGTCCTCTGAACCTGCGGGTCGTGTTCCCCGCTCAGTGAGAACTCAGAGAGAGCTTGTCCTACATAATGAGTGCGAGAAATGAAGACAAGGCAGTGGCGATTGCAACTTTATTCCTTGAGGGAACAAATTGTACATACATTGAACATGTATAGTTTTTGTTTTTTTATTGTCCGAATAAAGACTCATTAATTCATTCTCCTGTAACAATCGCTATTTTATTTTCAAGTCCCTTCAGATTTAAGTAGATGAGACAGGGCTTTGTATATTTGTATGATTTGTATATGATTCATTGATATGTATGATTTATAGTTAGTATTGTTTGTGTGATTTTTATTATTTGTATGATGTGTGTGATTTGTATCGAAGGTGCATGAGAAGAAGACGTCATCACTCAGACATACAGTAAATGACTCATGCTTCACATATAGAGACTGTAGTAACAACGCAGTCAGAACAAACACGTCCAGATCTTCAGATAATCATATTTAGAGGAAATATAGATATAACGGTGGTCCAACCGTACAAAACATGCAGATCAGATTCTACACATGTGGCCTGAGTGAACCAGAACCACTGCTGTCTTTCCCTTCGGCCTTCATCTCGAGATTGTCCAAAGTATTGAGTCCTTCATGGTCTCTGATTTTTAGAAGTAATGAGTTTATGAGCTGTGCACCTTGTTTGTTTAAACTGTGAAACTCAAACCAAACGGAAATAAATCAGAAATCATAAATTCAAAATAAAGTTAAACTTAATGAAGACTGTCCTTAATCACTCCGTTTTTATTTAAACAGAGCTTTACAACACTCAAGGCGACCAATATAATACGATCACATAAAATTCATTAACAAAAAGCAAACAAAAGTGAGTTGAGGAGTCATGGACAGTTGGTACAGAGGGTGAGACCTTTCAGGCTTTAAAAACAAAGAAAAAATCAACTTGAAACAGACTTCAACTTTATCTACTTTGTCCTTGTATAGAGATATCTCACGTGACGTCACGATGCCTCGAACTCGCGGGGCATCCGCCATACTGGAGGACAAGCAAACGCTGTATGATAGTGGCGTGCACCCGGGACCGCATACACATGTTCAAAATGTTTGCCGTTTTTGGCTGCAGCAAAAGGAGAGACAGGGAAAATAAGTTGTGTTACCGACTGCCAGCCGTCCTTACTTCACACGGCTCAAAAACAGAAGAAATCTCAAAGAAACGAGAGAGAAATGGCACAACCATAAGCAACAACAAAAAACTAATAGCCCCCAGAGCGCCCGAATATGCTCGGATCATTTCATTTCTGCTAAGTGAAATCAATTTGATGGCGGATTTAGTGTTATTCCGAAACAAACAGAAGTTTAAGGATAAAACATATCTGTCTGACTGCAACGTGGGGTTGCTCCATAGACTGTAGCTTAGCTTGTAGCATAGCTGTTATATATTTGGTCTCACACAGGACCTCACCCGGTTCACAGGGTATCTGACTTACCGAAGGCCAGCAGACATGTGAACGACTGAGCCGTGCTCTAGGGTGCCGCATACTAGTATTTATTAATAAAATATACGGCTCCTCACAGTAGACGCAGAAAGCTCCATTGATTTGAATGTAATCTCATTATTTCCACTGCAGTGTAGCCACACATAGATCCATGGTGTAACAATAAACACATTAAATGTTAATCGGAGAATACATTATACATATACATTCTTAATACACGTGCACAGAGGTTTTCAGAATTTTCTGTTCACGTTTTTATGAAAAAACACTGTTTTAATGCGACAATATGCGACCACGGTAAACCTGGATGTAACGATAAACATTAATAATACATTTTAGGACGCATTTTCAGAGGATCTGATTCATGAATTTAGGTCGAGTATATATTTGGGTCACTAACTGCTGAAGTTTCAAATTCTCTGTTCAGTTTTCATGTAGTTCGAGAGAGTTCTAGTTTTGAACGTCCAGTTATAGATAGCTAGCAGGGCTGTTACTCGCCGAGGTTGTCCTCCAGTATGGCTGCCGTGGCTGCTAGTCACGTGACCGTAGGATCCCTCTATTTATTGTATATTACTGTAACAGTGTGTGTACTATTCTATTATCTATATATCATTCTGTAAATAGATAGATACTTTATTGATCCCTGTAGGAGAAATTCAGGTGTCCAGTAGCAGAAAAAAATAAAAATAAAAATGATTCTAAATTCTAAAAAGCTAACAATAGTAATAATCAGCAATAGCCCTTCAGGTCACAGCAGCAGAGGTGGAGGAGCCTCTGGGTGGAGCAGGACGGGTCAAAAGGTGGAGTAGCCGCTTTGTTTGGACCATTTTCTCTGCTCTAGTCCAAAGTAAAAAGCTAAATGCTTCATTAGCATTTTTCTAAAAGTTTGCATTCCTCCAGTGGATTTTCTCCTGATCCACTTGGTCCGGACCATGAATCCTCTCTGCTCTGGTCTGGACCAGTGCAAAACCATGAACACTGTACTGCAGCAACATCTCAGGCAGAAAAAAGCAATACAAATAAAAATTGTAAAACACAAAACAACAACTGTTTCAGAGCTACTGAGGACTTGCAGCAAAAGTGTACTTATTTGCAGATATGTAGATTCCTGAGCACGTACAGTATATCCAGATTATTCTATTCTCACAATATTATTATTATCATTATTCTTATTTTCAGTTACTTGAATGTTATTTTTTATTGTGGATTACTACGCAAAGCTACTGTGACAATGCAATTTCCCTCGTGGATCAATAAAGTCAAAGTCTAAGTCTGAACAAAACTGGAACTTCTTGTCCTCAGTCAATCCACGAATCTGTGTCTTTATTATCTACATGTTTTTTAAGTTAAAAGGTCAAAGCTACGAAGCCTCCGTTTGTCAGGTGTAGTGGCTCCATGGGCCGTCTTTCCAGAACGTACACATGCCCTGGTAAAAGTACATTCTGCCCCCAGCAACTCACCACAAGATGTTATAGTTACGATCGACGAGTTTATCTTTTGGCCGAACCAGTCGATGCAAATATGAATAGACTCTGGGAGGAGGAAGTTATTTATGAAGAAACAAAATGTGCCGTCTCTATCTCGCTGAAAAAAGACCAAGAACGTGTAGAGACAGCAGTTTAGCAAAGAGGGTGTGTGTGTGTGTGTGTGCGTGTGTGTGTGTGTGTGTGTGTGTGTGTGTGTGTGTGTGTGTGTGTGTGTGTGTGTGTGTGTGTGTGTGTGTGTGTGTGTGTGTGTGTGTGTGTGTGTGTGTGTGTGTGAGGTCAGATGGTATCAACACCAGAGGGTTTTTATGCATCTTTCTGGTCCAGCCCAGCCATGAACTTGTTATTATTATTATTATTGTTATTATTATTATTATATTTCCTATAAGTTGCTATTTTTTTCTTGTTGCATTTATGAACGAGGTGGCAGAGTGGTTAGCCCTCTTATTTCTCCCTATAGGTTCGAATACCAGTCAGAACAGGGTTTTTCTGATTTTCGGAGTGGAGTTTGCATGTTCTCCCTGTGTCTGGGTAGGTTTAATCCAGGTGTGTGTTCTCAAACTAAGTTCTCCAAACTATTAGTTCAACCTCCACAACATTGAGTCATGTGTGACATCATCACAGCAGTTTCTCCTTTGAACACTTTACAAATGATTTCGGACATGTATCACTTACTTTCATACAATTCTCTGCTTTTTTATAACATTATCATTTGCTTCTGTCTTGTCAGTCAAAATTAAACATACTTATGACACACACACACACACACACACACACATACATACATACTGTACATACACATATATGTCTTGTACACTGTATTTACCTTTCTAAATACAGTCATGTGTAACTTTACACAGAGAGAGTAAACTTTCACATTGAAAACGTGACAAAGTCATTTAACTGTTGTTCATAAACACTGGTGTCAGGACTTATTATTCTGAGACACAGACCGTTTCAATGACATGAAGACTTGCTTTTGAGGAATTCACTTTTCATTTTGAAAAAGTGATGCACCCCGAGGTTTTGCAGTTTGCACTAATTGTTCTGAGAAATGCACCAAAGCCACTGAGAAAAACTGAAAAAAGAAATTTCAAGAAATGTCTTCCTTGGAATGACACAGAAATTGCAGCAGCACTTGAAATGAGACTTTGTTCAATTGGCAAATCTGGTTTACAGTTTTTCTCAGTCGCTTTGGTGCATTTCTCACATCAGACTTAAAGTTCTCAAAACTATTAGTTCAACCTCCACAACATTGAGTCATTGGTGCACATCATGATGGCAGTTTCTCATTCCTCTGAACACATTTCAAATGCTTTCGTTCATGTCAATCAATCAATCAAAGTTTATTTGTAGAGCGCCTTTCATGCACAGGGCAACACAAAGCGCTTCACAGTCCACATCACAAATCATCACATAAAACAAACACCAGAATCACAATTAAAACATTAAAATCACACAAAAGATTAAAACACAATAAAAACAATAAAATCACACAAAAGAATAAAACCATTAACACTTTCAAAGTTACACAAGAAATTTAAAAAAATAAATAAATAAATGACAGCAGTGCATTACAAATGGAGATAAAATCCTTCAGTTGTATGCACAGGCAAACAGAACAGTCTTTAACCTGGATTTGAACATTGACAGAGTAGACGCCTCCCTCACATTTTCAGGGAGATTGTTCCAGATCTTAGCTGCATAGATCTGAAACGCAGCCTCCCCATGTTTGGTTCTCACTCTGGGCACCAGCAGGAGGCCAGTCCCTGTGCTCCTCAGAGTCCGGGCTGGTTCATATGACACCAACATGTCACTAATGTATTCTGGTGCAAGGCCATGGAGAGACTTGTACACAAGCAGAGCTGTTTTAAAATCTATTCTTTGAGCCACAGGAAGCCAGTGCAGAGACCTGAGGACCGGACTAATATGGTCATACTTCCTGGTTCCTGTCAGGACTCTAGCTGCTGCATTTTGGATGTACTGCAGCTGCTTACAGGTCTGTTTGGACAGACCTGTAAGCAGGCCATTGCAGTAGTCTAGCCTGCTGGAGACAAATGCGTGGACAAGAATCTCCAAGTCTGCCCTGGACACTATATTTCTGACTTTGGCAATGTTCTTCAGATGGTAAAAAGCTGTTGATGTTATTGATTTTATGTGGCTATTGAAATTTAGGTCTGAGTCCAGTATTACCCCCAAATTTCTGACCTTGTCTGAAGGAAGTAGGGAGAGAGACTGAAGTTGACAGATGACGCCCTCTCTTTGTTTCTGGGGACCAAAGACAATGATTTCGGTTTTGTCTGCATTTAGCTGGAGGAAATTATTTTGCATCCACTCACTGATCTGTTGGATACAGTGAAGGAGCAAATCCAGTGGTCCATGTTCTCCTGCAGTCAGTGAGACATAGATCTGAGTGTCGTCGGCGTAATTGTGGTAGGACACTTTGTTTCTTTGTATTAACTGACCTAACGGCAGCATGTAGAGATTAAATAGGAGAGGTCCCAGGATCGACCCCTGTGGTACTCCACAGGTCAGGGCCACATGATCTGAGACGCAGTCTCCAATCTCCACAAAGTACTTCCTATCCTCCAGGTAAGACCTAAACCAGTCTAGGGCTGTGCCAGTGACACCAACCCAGTCCTCCAGTCTCTGCATGAGGATCTCATGGTCGACAGTGTCGAACGCGGCACTAAGATCTAACATGACCAAAACTGTGACTTTACCTGCATCAGTGTGAAGTCGAATGTCGTTTGTTACCTTCACTAGAGCGGTCTCAGTGCTGTGGTGGGGTCTAAACCCAGACTGGAACATATCAAAAGAATTATTCATTGTTAAAAATTCAGTAAGTTGTTGGGAGGCCACTTTTTCAAGAATTTTTCCAATGAATGGCAGATTCGATATGGGGCGATAATTTTGAAGTCCCGCAGGATCCAGACTGCTCTTTTTTAGGAGAGGTCTTATGACTGCTGTTTTTAGGGCCATAGGAAATGTTCCTGACGACAGAGACATGTTTACTATTTGTGTCAGTGAAGGTAACAAACTGCTCAGGACGGACTTCAGAAATTTAGAGGGCAATATATCCAGGCTACATGTGGAGGAGCTCAGACTCATGATTATCTTTTTGACAGTTTCAGTATCCACAGGTGCAAAGTGAGTTAGCTCAAAAAGCTTCTCTGGCTGTTGCATTGTTATACGTGCTGTGGAGGTGATAGTGTTTTTGATTCCTTGTACTTTGTCATCGAAAAACTGTGCGAACTCATTACACCTAGATTTAGAGGAAAATTCTAGGGGCAACTTTACAGGGGGGTTCGTTAATCTACCAACTGTTGAAAACATAACACGAAAATTGTTACTGCAACCTCCAATAATGTCAGAAAAATACATTTCTCTTGTTCTTCGTAGAACCCGGTTAAATTCACCCAACTCATCTTTAAAGATTTCATAATCGCCCTGGAAATTGGACTTTCGCCACTTCCGTTCGGCCCTCCGGCACTCTTGCTTCTGTGCCCTGACCGAGTCTGCCTTAGTCCATGGGGCCTTTTTCTTACTGGTAACTATTTTAACCGTCACAGGAGCAATGGCGTCCAGAACATTCAGAACACTGGTGGTGACAGAGTTATACAATTCATCAACAGTAGAGCATGGAGTTTTCTCAAAATTTAGCATTCCCATGAACAGTTCACCTGTGTTTTCATGTATGTGTCTTCTTCTAGCAATTGTAAATTCAGCTGGTGGTTTGCTAGCAAAACACATGTCAAAAAATACACAGAAATGATCTGACAAAGCAACATCAACTACATTAACATTTGATACATTAACCCCCTTTGTAATTAGCAGGTCAAGAGTGTGCCCCCCTGCTGTGGGTGGGGCCACTCACGTGCTGAATGAAACCAAAGGTCTCAAATACAGAAGCCAGCTCCTTTGCATTTCTGTCATCAACATTATCAACATGTACATTAAAATCACCTGTAAATAACTAAACTATCAAAATCTGTGCACACAAATGAAAGTAGTTCAGTAAAATGGTCAATAAAATCGCAACATGACTGTGGTGGCCTGTACAGGACAATGAAAAGAGTAGAAGATTGCTTTTGTTCCATTTTAAAAGAAATATACTCAAACGATGAAAAATTTCCAAGGGGCATTCTATGGGAGACAAAGTGCTCTCTAAAAACTGCAGCTATGCCTCCCCCCCTTTTGTTTTCTCGTACTTCGGATTCGAATTTAAAATTGGGTGGTGTTGCTTCTATTAGAACTGCATTTCCTGTATTTTGGTCGAGCCATGTTTCAGCCATAAGCATAAAATCAAGATCATAAGAAGTGATAAAATTATTAATTAAAAATGATTTGTTACATGTATCAGTAACTTGTATCAGTAACTTTCAAACAATTCTCGGCGTTTTTTTAACCTTATCATTTGCTTCTGTCCTGTCAGTCAAAATGAAACATACTTATCACTTCTGAATAGTCATTCACTATAAAACTAACTGTCCTCATTTCATCGCTTTGGTCATCACATACAAAATAGTTGAACTAGTTCTCAAAATCATAACTGTCAAGCTAATTTCATACATTCCTTCATCTTTTTTTCCTGTAAATCTTTCCTAAATTGAACAATTTATCTCAGGTGAATTTCAGCTTCACTCTGAGGTGTGCTTTATTGTTTATTTTTGTCACAGTTCTACCATAATGATATTTCTTGTATGTTTGTTCTATGTATATACTACATATACAGTATACTGTATGTGCCTGCAATTCTACAGCATTGTGCAACAGAAATACAAAGAGCATATGCAGTACACATACATACATACATATACATACAGTACATTCATACATAGATACACACATACATACATATACATACAGTACATACATACATAGATACACACATACATACATACATATACATACAGTACATTCATACATAGATACACACATACATACATATACATACAGTACATACATACATAGATACACACATACATACATACATATACGGTACATACTGTACATACATACATAGATACACACATACATACATACATGTACAGTACATACTGTACATACATACATAGATACACACATACATACATACACATACATACAGTACATACATATATGTTACAGAATGCCAGTTACGTCTCTAAATACAGTCTTTGTGTAACTTTACTGTAGTTTTTACTGTAAATGGCTGCACAGGTCGTGTATAGTGTGTCGTGCTCAAGTGTCACCGAGATCTGACTTTTTTACAGTGAAAACACAGAGTAAACTTTCACAATGAAAACATGACTAAGGTCATTTGACTGTGATGTTCATACTCAATGTTGTTTAGGCACATATTATTTAGACGACATAGACAGTTTCATTGATGTTTGGACTTGCTTGCTTTTGAGGACCCCGACAGGGACCCGAAGACCCCGACAGGGACCTGAGGAGCCCGACAGGGACCCGAGGAGCCCGACAGGGACCCGAAGACCCCGACAGGGACCCGAGGAACCCGACAGGGACCAAAAGACCCCGACAGGGACCCAAAGACCCCGACAGGGACCCGAAGACCCCGACAGGGACCCGAGGAACCCGACAGGGACCAAAAGACCCCGACAGGGACCCAAAGACCCCGACAGGGACCCGAAGACCCCGACAGGGACCCGAGGAACCCGACAGGGACCAAAAGACCCCGACAGGGACTCGAAGACCCCGACAGGGACCCGAGGACCCCGACAGGGACGTTAAAGATCACAAATACACCCAGAGACCAGGTTTAGTCCTGCTTTAGAGCAGGTTTATCATTAATATGTGTTTTATAGATTGATTGGCTAAGTCTGAAGTATATTTACCACTTTAAAGATTTACACACAGTAAGAAAAGGATTGTGTTTTCGTCCCCTGCTCGAAACATCTTGAGGTCGTTAGAATAATGAAGGGAAGACTTTAATACATTAATTAAAGGTTTCAATCATCAACAACAACAACAAACGTTCACTTCAGCAGCAGAGGAACGAGAAGATAAACCGTATTTTGTCCAAAATCACTAAAAAGTGCTCAAATAAAAAGGCCAATCAATCAATTTTGGCCATTCCACTTATTATTTTAGAGCATTGGCCATCACGAGACATGACTCCCACTGATGTCTGCTGTCGTTGTGTCCTTGGGCAAGACGCTTAACACCACTTTGCCTGAAGCCCCTGCTGAGAGATCAAGGCTCCTGTGGCCTCAGCACCTGCAGGAGCTCTGACTGCCACCCCCCTGACCAAGAAATGGATTCAGGGGAAGAAAATGTATGTAGATTTGTATTTATGCCTTCTTGTTTTTATTCTGCTTTAACTTGTTTGCACCGAGAGCTAAAGCCATTTCCTTGTTACTCAAATGGAAATAAAAAGGATTCTGATTCTGAAAATGGATGGATGGAATTATTAGCTTAGTCCGTCTTGGAAACAACAACAATACAACTCAACTAAACATTTATTAGTAAGTAAATAAGCCCTCTTTATTTATATAGCGCCTTTTACCAACCAAGGTCACACAAAGCACACAAACACACTAGAAACACACAACAACATAAACTGTACATTATGTCCCTGACGTTCGCTCTGCAGAACACAGAGCGTTCAGAGGCTCCATCTGCGTCTTTTTACAGTCACACGCTTTAGATTGTTTCGGTCCAAATGTTCTTAAAGAAACAGGACATAATGTACGGTCACGCCATGAACAGCATCTGTCACTCACACCTCACAGTTTACACAGTATTATACAGTATTCAACATTACTACACCAATACTTTCACTATACATCGTCTCTTTGATTACTAATCTTTGATATGTCCGTCCGTATGTTGTCTGGTCCGTGTAGACGATCACACAAGACTTAATTTTTGCAAAAACAGCCCATTTTCTGAATTTTCATTCAGTCTCAAGGGCACGAGAATCTGCACTCGCTATTTTTATCTGTGCCTGAACAATAAACGAGCTGCTGCATCAGTTTGATAAATATAACCAGCTTTAACTAACTTCAAAACAAAGCAACTGACAAAAAATGTGTTTTTAGCTGATTATTTAAATCAGCAATATGTAAGATTTTAATGTCAAGTTATTATTAAAGGGCCCTAATCGGTCATAATTAAAGGGCCCTAATCGGTCATAATTAAAGGGCCCTAATCGGTCATCATTAACGGGCCCTAATCTGTCATAATTAAAGGGCCCTAATCTGTCATCATTAAAGGGCCCTAATCTGTCATCATTAAAGGCTCTAATCGGTCATCATTAAAGGGCCCTAATCTGTCATCATTAAAGGGCCCTAATCTGTCATCATTTAATCGGTCATCATTAAAGGGCCCTAATCGGTCATCATTAAAGGGCCCTAATCTGTCATCATTAAAGGGCCCTAATCTGTCATCATGAAAGGGCCCTAATCTGTCATCATGAAAGGGCCCTAATCTGTCATCATTAAAGGGCCCTAATCTGTCATCATTAAAGGGCCCTAATCTGTCATCATTAAAGAGCCCTGATCTGACATCATTAAAGGGCCCTAATCTGTCATCATTAAAGGGCCCTAATCTGTCATCATTAAAGGGCCCTAATCTGTCATCATTAAAGGCCCAAATCTGTCATAATAATAAACGTCTCTTTTCCAATCCTTCTTTAACTGAAAACAGTCGTTCAGAGATATTTGAATTTCTAAATTACTTTTCCAGCCTCTAAATCTTGTTATTGTTTTCATTTCGATGTCCCGCCCTCCACCGTTTCACCAATCAGAAAGTCTGTGATCCGGGCGCCAGAACTCACCGCGTGGAGCTAATCTCACTGGTAAAGTACCATGTGGAGCTAATCTCACTGGTAAAGTACCATGTGGAGCTAATCTCACTGGTAAAGTACCATGTGGCACAGAACTAAAAAAGGTCTCGTTATGATTCTCAAATCATTAACGACAAAACAAGGAATAAAACCAGAAGATTGAAATGAAAGAATGAAACTCAGTAAACACAGTAGTGTGGCTTGTAATGTTTGGTGTCACTTTGGAAATAATCAAATATCATCAAATTGGTCAACATTTCCCTTTTAGCTGGGCGTGTGTCATGTGACTTCAGATCCAACCCAGAGGAGGGTAAATGGTTACTGGCCTCATCTTTACTCAGCTCCCTGCTCGTGTCGCAACCCTCCTCCTCCCCATTATCACAACCCTAACCCTAACAGTAGATGATCTCCTATGCGTTTGTTATTATTGTCCTGTGTTGGGTTCGATTCCCTGGTCAGACTGCTGGGAATTAGGGCTACACAATAATCCATGTTAGAGTAGACTCTGGGTTCGGACGCGCCTCAGGTTAAAGACGTTAAAGAATTAAAGACGTTAAAGAGTTAAAGAGTTAAAGAGTGGAACAACGTCTTTTCATGTCCTCAGCTTTGGCTCATTACTCTGCTCACATCATGCAGTGCACAATATAATAACAATATGTCCATAAATATAATATTTATCAGAGCATTTACCTGTGGAAATGTCCTGAAAAAGACACATTTCAACAAAAATATATCCCGGTGTTTTATAGTAAGAACAAATGTCTAAATCAAAAGCATGATCCTACAGTTACATCCTTAAAGGGCAGGACTGGGACAGGTCTGACCCCAGTGTGCACCAAGTACCTTTGAAACTGGTTCTAGATGCGTTTGAAGGTTCAGAAGCTGGTTTTGCCCAGAGTTGGATTTAGAATATTGAGTGAGCACAGCAGGAGCAGCGACAGACGGACAGGAGAGAAACCCTGGTCAGAGGCCAAGCCCGCACTGGTCCTGCTCCTCCTGGACTGGGACATGATTCTGTGTGTCTGTAGATAAGACAGAGATCCTTTATTTGTCCCACAGTGGGGAAGTTTCAATGTTGCAGCGCACAGACAGGACACTAGAGACACATGTGCAGCTGCTGTGTTTCTTAGCTGTAAATGCTTCAATATCAATACATCAATATATCTTTATCACTATTCTGTGGTGCAAAGTGAAGTACTTAAAGGACATTCTGAAGTTGCAGAATTGCACATGACTCCCGTATTTACAGATGAATGACATGTGCAGACTCAGCAGTTCTCGTTGCACTGCCCTGAACTCCTTCTGATATGAATGTCACGGCCACAGACTGTGCATATTAAAGATGTATCTCCGCCGTTCAAATTAATGTGACATCACTTTCACCGTCTATGGGTAGTTTCAAAATGGGAGCTGGAAAAGGTGAACAAACACATTTGTGCATTTGTTAGCCGCATTAGCCCCATTCATTTATCGAGTGCATTCAAAAGTCCACAGCGGCTAAACTAGACTGGTCCAAAAACATATACTCCCCTCAGACAGCATCTGGAACCAAGAGGACCAAGAGCCACTTTTGGACCAAGAACTTTGGACCAAGACCCACTTTTGGACCAAGAACCACTTTTGGACCAAGAACCACTTTTGGACCAAGAGCCACTTTTGGACCAAGAGCCACGTTTGGACCAAGAACCACTTTTGGACCATCCTGTAAAGCCGTTTTCGAGAGGTAAGAAGATGCTATATATTAGCATTCCACCCCCACAGGCCTGGGGTGATATTGCCTCATTTTGGACATTTTGACCCGGGACAATTATTCCATCATTGAGACGAAAGAACAGACAGAAAAACCAGGCCAAGCACAATACCCCTCTGCCCAGAGGGAGACCTCCTGTGGCAGGTCAGATCAATATAACAGAAAACTAAATCCTAAAAATCTATCAAATATATATAAAAATGATTAGTAATAGTTTAGCACAAAAGTAGTGTACAACAACAATGCGTCCTCAGCAGTTTCCATCCATCCATTTTCTTCCCCTTAATCCATGTCTGGGTCGGGGTGGCAGTCAGAGCTGCACTCAGTCCACAGAGAACTAGCCCCTCACTGCTCCTCCTGCTCCTCCTGGTCCTCCTGGTCCTCCTGCAGGTGCTGAGTCCACAGGAGCCTTGATCTGTCAGTGGGGGCTTCAGGTAAAGTGGGGTTAAGTGTCTTGCCCAAGGACACAACAACAGCAGACATGGTGGACTTTTTAGCAGTTTGGTTTATTCATTTTTCATTTTGTTCAGAAATATCAAGTTTAAATAAATATCCAAACTATTAAGCTTTAGTCAAACTCACTCCCAAAAGATCAAAGAATCAGATCCAACACAGAAATCAATAACAAACACAGCTGTTGGTCCAAAGGGGGCGGGACCACCACTGTCCATGTTCATCATCTTTAAATGTCACAGATCATCTCAAAACAGTGGAAAAATGATCAATAAACAAAAAGAAAACAATGAAGTTTAGTCTAAAGTTTAATGTTGTTATTTCAGATCGACTCCAGGTCTCAGGTCTCCAGTTATTAACCATAGTTTACAGAAACAGTCACTGAGAGATTTATCACAGGTTTGATTACGTTGTTATCGTCCGTGACTCGTGTCGTCAGATTTGGTCTTTCCTAAAGTCTGAAACCCCTCCTCTGCACTTCATCTAAAGCTATATCTGCACAAACATGAACCGACGCTCGAACTCTACATCTGCTGCTTCTGCAAAAGTGTTTTTAGATTCATGGCCCAAACACGTGGTCCACAGAGTTTTCCATCACAAATAAAACTTACGAGTCTCGAGTCATCGCGGCGCTTTCTTCCACCGCCTGCTCCTGTAATCCTCTGTGAAGACCTTTGTTCTTCTAGTGTTCCCCAAACTCCACAATATATGTTTGACTTTGACCCAACAGAGCAGTGGACCTGACGTAGGTCTCAGACTGACAGTGACAGGGGCCGGCCCTCCCCCTCCTCATCCTGGGCTCCAGCAGCTGACGGGGAATGGACTCACCAGGTTTCCAAAATAGCTTTGTGTTCACAGGTCACAAAGATTCAGAGACAGAGGGAATGACTGCAGACATTTGTCCAAAGACTATTTGTCATTGCAGAATGAAGATTAACGCTGGATGTGTCACCGCTGGGCTCAGTTTACTGTGGGAGCTCTGGGCACACGTGGAAACAGAACCACCTCCAACTGGGACCGGATCCTGGAGAGCTCTGGATCGCACTCATACACTTCATAAATACACCAGGGACATTTACAGCAGACACAGGCCTCACCCAGCACCTTCCACAGCACGTGTATTAGTGTTAGTAAAACTATTAGTGTTAGTAAAACATAAACCCAGGACTTGCATAATGTCTTTAGAGGCTGTCCTTAAAATAAAATAAAATAATAATATGCTCATTCATAACCCTATGTCTGTGATAAAGGCCTCAGTGAAATGTAGTGTGGAGTCCGAGGTGTTAAAAGATGTTTTACTGGAGTTCAGGACAACACGGGTCACGTCAGCTGCGGCCGCCACAGCGAGAAGCATCAGTTTACGAAAGGAGCAGTTGGCCATGATCCAAGCTCAGATGTCAGCGACAGGATCTAAACATAGGCTCGGGACAGGTCAGAATCATATCCATAGATGGACTCTGCAATAACCAAAGAAAATACTGCAAAAGTATTTCTCCAAAACCAGAAACTCTCCTTCTCCTTCAACCGCAGTCGCCAAAGTCAATGCTAATGTTGAACAAATTAGATAAGCTAGCAGCTGTCAGGGTCAAATACACCTTTGGCCAGACCCTCAGACCCTCTCAGTCCCTCTCAGTCCCTCTCAGTCCCTCTCAGACCCTCACAGACCTTCACAGACCGACACAGACCCTCTCAGTCCCTCTCAGTCCCTCTCAGTCCCTCTCAGACCCTCTCAGACCCTCCTCAGACCCTCTCAGACCCACTCAGACCCTCTCAGACCCTCTCAAGACCCTCTCAGACCCTCTCAGACCCTCTCAGACCCTCTCAGACCCTCCTCAACCCACTCAGACCCTCTCAGACCCTCTCAGACCCTCTCAGACCCTCTCAGACCCTCAGACCCTCTCAGACCCTCTCAGACCCTCTCAGACCCTCTCAGACCCTCTCAGACCCTCTCAGACCCTCTCAGACCCTCAGACCCTCTCAGACCCTCTCAGACCCTCTCAGACCCTCTCAGACCCACTCAGACCCTCTCAGACCCTCTCAGACCCTCTCAGACCCTCTCAGACCCTCTCAGACCCTCTCAGACCCTCTCAGACCCTCTCAGACCCTCTCAGACCCTCTCAGACCCTCTCAGACCCACTCAGACCCTCTCAGACCCTCTCAGACCCACTCAGACCCTCTCAGACCCTCTCAGACCCTCTCAGACCCTCTCAGACCCACTCAGACCCTCTCAGACCCTCTCAGACCCTCTCAGACCCTCTCAGACCCTCTCAGACCCTCTCAGACCCTCTCAGACCCTCTCAGACCCTCTCAGACCCTCTCAGACTCTCTCAGACCCTCTCAGACCCTCTCAGACCCTCTCAGACCCTCTCAGACCCTCTCAGACCCTCTCAGACCCTCTCAGACCCTCTCAGACCCTCTCAGACCCTCTCAGACCCTCTCAGACCCTCTCTCAGACCCTCTCAGACCCTCTCAGACCCTCTCAGACCCTCTCAGACCCTCTCAGACCTCTCAGACCCTCTCAGACCCTCATCTCAGACCCTCTCAGACCCTCTCAGACCCTCTCAGACCCTCTCAGACCCTCTCAGACCCTCTCAGACCCTCTCAGACCCTCTCAGACCCTCTCAGACCCTCTCAGACCCTCTCAGACCCTCTCAGACCCTCTCAGACCCTCTCAGACCCTCTCAGACCCTCTCAGACCCTCTCAGACCCTCTCAGACCCTCTCAGACCCTCTCAGACCCTCTCAGACCCTCTCAGACCCTCTCAGACCCTCTCAGACCCTCTCAGACCCTCTCAGACCCTCTCAGACCCTCTCAGACCCTCTCAGACCCTCTCAGACCCTCTCAGACCCTCTCAGACCCTCTCAGACCCACTCAGACCCTCTCAGACCACCCTCTCAGACCCTCTCAGACCCTCTCAGACCCTCTCAGACCCACTCAGACCCTCAACCCACTCAGACCCTCTCAGACCCTCTCAGACCCTCTCAGACCCTCTCAGACCCAGACCCTCTCAGACCCCCCTCAGACCCTCTCAGACCCCTCTCAGACCCTCTCAGACCCACTCAGACCCTCTCAGACCCACTCAGACCCACTCAGACCCTCTCAGACCCTCTCAGACCCTCTCAGACCCTCTCAGACCCTCTCAGACCCACTCAGACCCTCAGACCCTCAGACCCACTCAGACCCTCTCAGACCCTCTCAGACCCTCTCAGACCCTCAGACCCTCTCAGACCCACTCAGACCCTCTCAGACCCACTCAGACCCTCTCAGACCCTCTCAGACCCTCCCCTCAGACCCTCTCAGACCCTCTCAGACCCTCTCAGACCCTTCGACTCAGACCCTCTCAGACCCACTCAGACCCTCTCAGACCCTCAGACCCTCTAGACCCTCTCAGACCCTCTCAGACCCTCTCAGACCCACTCAGACCCTCTCAGACCCTCTCAGACCCTCTCAGACCCTCCGCCCTCCTCAGACCCCTCTCAGACCCACTCAGACCCTCTCAGACCCACTCAGACCCTCTCAGACCCTCTCAGACCCTCTCAGACCCTCTCAGACCCTCTCAGACCCTCTCAGACCCACTCAGACCCTCTCAGACCCTCTCAGACCCTCTCAGACCCTCTCAGACCCACTCAGACCCACTCAGACCCTCTCAGACCCTCTCAGACCCTCTCAGACCCTCTCAGACCCCTCAGACCTCAGACCCCTCAGACCCACTCAGACCCTCTCAGACCCTCTCAGACCCTCTCAGACCCTCTCAGACCCTCTCAGACCCCAGACCTCTCAGACCCACTCAGACCCACTCAGACTCTCTCAGACCCACCCAGACCCTCTCAGACTCTCTCAGACCCACCCAGACCCTCTCAGACCCACTCAGACCCACTCAGACCCTCTCAGACCCACTCAGACCCTCTCAGACCCTCTCAGACCCTCTCAGACCCACTCAGACCCTCTCAGACCCACTCAGACCCTCTCAGACCCTCTCAGACCCACCCAGACCCACTCAGACTCTCTCAGACCCACTCAGACTCTCTCAGACCCACTCAGACCCACTCAGACCCTCTCAGACCCTCTCAGACCCTCTCAGACCCTCTCAGACCCTCTCAGACCCTCTCAGACCCTCTCAGACCCACTCAGACCCACTCAGACCCTCTCAGACCCTCTCAGACCCTCTCAGACCCTCTCAGACCCTCTCAGACCCTCTCAGACCCACCAGACCCACTCAGACTCTCTCAGACCCACTCAGACCCTCTCAGACCCACTCAGACCCACTCAGACCCTCTCAGACCCTCTCAGACCCTCTCAGACCCTCTCAGACCCTCTCAGACCCTCTCAGACCCTCTCAGACCCTCTCAGACCCACTCAGACCCACTCAGACCCACTCAGACCCTCTCAGACCCTCTCAGACCCTCAGACCACTCAGACCCTCTCAGACCCACTCAGACCCTCTCAGACCCTCTCAGACCCTCTCAGACCCTCTCAGACCCACTCAGACCCTCTCAGACCCTCTCAGACCCACTCAGACCCTCTCAGACCCTCTCAGACCCTCTCAGACCCTCTCAGACCCTCTCAGACCCTCTCAGACCCTCTCAGACCCACTCAGACCCTCTCAGACCCACTCAGACCCTCTCAGACCCACTCAGACCCTCTCAGACCCTCTCAGACCCTCTCAGACCCACTCAGACCCTCTCAGACCCTCTCAGACCCACTCAGACCCACTCAGACCCTCTGAGACCCACTCAGACCCACTCAGACCCTCTCAGACCCACTCAGACCCTCTCAGACCCTCTCAGACCCTCTCAGACCCTCTCAGACCCACTCAGACCCACTCAGACCCTCTCAGACCCTCTCAGACCCTCTCAGACCCACTCAGACCCACTCAGACCCACTCAGACCCTCTCAGACCCACTCAGACCCTCTCAGACCCTCTCAGACCCTCTCAGACCCTCTCAGACCCTCTCAGACCCTCTCAGACCCTCTCAGACCCACTCAGACCCACTCAGACCCACCCAGACCCTCTCAGACCCTCTCAGACCCACTCAGACCCTCTCAGACTCTCTCAGACCCTCTCAGACCCTCTCAGACCCTCTCAGACCCTCTCAGACCCTCTCAGACCCTCTCAGACCCTCTCAGACCCTCTCAGACCCACTCAGACCCTCTCAGACCCTCTCAGACCCTCTCAGACCCTCTCAGACCCTCTCAGACCCTCTCAGACCCTCTCAGACCCACTCAGACCCTCTCAGACCCACTCAGACCCTCTCAGACCCACTCAGACCCTCTCAGACCCTCTCAGACCCTCTCAGACCCACTCAGACCCTCTCAGACCCTCTCAGACCCACTCAGACCCACTCAGACCCTCTGAGACCCACTCAGACCCTCTCAGACCCACTCAGACCCTCTCAGACCCTCTCAGACCCACTCAGACCCACTCAGACCCTCTGAGACCCTCTCAGACCCTCTCAGACCCACTCAGACCCACTCAGACCCACTCAGACCCTCTCAGACCCTCTCAGACCCTCTCAGACCCTCTCAGACCCTCTCAGACCCTCTGAGACCCTCTCAGACCCTCTCAGACCCTCTGAGACCCACTCAGACCCTCTCAGACCCTCTCAGACCCACTCAGACCCTCTCAGACCCTCTCAGACCCACTCAGACCCTCTGAGACCCTCTCAGACCCTCTCAGACCCACTCAGACCCACTCAGACCCACTCAGACCCTCTCAGACCCACTCAGACCCTCTCAGACCCACTCAGACCCTCTCAGACCCTCTCAGACCCTCTCAGACCCTCAGACCCTCTCAGACCCTCTCAGACCCTCACAGACCTCTCAGACCCTCTCAGACCCTCTCAGACCCTCTTCAGACCCCTCAGACCCTCTCAGACCCTCAGACCCTCTCAGACCCTCTCAGACCCTCTCAGACCCATTCAGACCCACTCAGACCCTCTCAGACCCTCTCAGACCCACTCTCAGACCCACTCAGACCCTCTCAGACCCAGACCAGACTCAGACCCTCTCAGACTCTCAGACTCTCAGACTCAGACTCTCAGACTCTCAGACTCTCAGACTCTCAGACCCTCTCAGACCTCTCAGACTCACTCTCAGACCCTCAGACCCTCTCAGACCCTCTCAGACCTCAGACTCTCAGACCCTCTCAGACCCTCTCAGACTCTCAGACTCTCAGACTCTCAGACTCAGACTCTCAGACCCTCTCAGACCCTCTCAGACCTCTCAGACCCTCTCAGACCTCTCAGACTCTCAGACTCTCAGACCCTCTCAGACCCACTCAGACTCTCAGACCCTCTCAGACCCTCTCAGACCTCTCAGACCTCTCAGACCCTCTCAGACCTCTCAGACTCAGACTCTCAGACCCTCTCAGACCCTCTCAGA